ACTAAAAATAGAAAAATTAGCTAAGCGTGGGACTATACCTGTAGTCCCAGCTATTTGGGAGGCTGATGCAGGAGAACCACTGGAACCTGGGAGGCAGAGGTTGCAGTCAGCTGCAATTTTGGCACTGCACTATAGCCTGGGCAAGAGCGAGACTCCAACTCAAAAAATAATAATAATTAGCCAAGCGTGGTGGTGCACGCCTGTAGCCTTAGCTAGTTGGGGGGCTGAGGCAGGAAGATCACCTGAGCCTTGGGAGGTCAAGGCTGCAGTGAGCTGTGACGGTGCCACTGCACTCCAGCCTGGGAACTCCTGGGTGTGCTCTGTGAGCCACTCGCTTCCCCCATGTGTCAATCCAGCACTGGGACTGGAGCCTGCCCATGTTATCCCTTCACTGCCACCTTCAGGAAGGGTAGAAGAACCTCCCTCCTAGCTGATTTCCTCTGGCAGTAATACACTATTGGTGTCAACTAGCTGGGGCCCACCTGGCCTGATAGCAAAGAGGCTATAACTGGCACCGACTCGGAAGAAATTATCCCCGATGATGGAGAAAGAATGAGCCGGATGGGGAGTAATGTCCTGGGGTAGGTGTCCCAGATACTTTATCTCCTTTGCAAAGGGCTGCTCTGGCTCCTCTGGGTGCTGCTTGCGAGTGACGACAGCTCAGAGGAGCGGGATGAACATGGCCTCTAAGTCCGGGACCCCACCTCATTTCACTGGCGGCTCTGCCACGCATCAGTCAAGCGGCCTGGGGGAATGCCATGTCTTCTCCTGGGACTGTGAAACAAGAGGGCTTCTAGGCCTCACATTCTCTGAGTATCTTAATTTCACAGAGAAAAAATTCTCATGGTTCAAAATGTCATCCAAGAACATTAAAAATAAATTCTCATTTTCTGTGGAAAAAGGCTAGAGTTCTACCTTGTTCCCCCTCAGACCCCCTAAATCTGGTATTTTTACTTCCCTTAAAAATAACCTTTTTAAAGGGCACCTGCCAATAGCTGTGTGGCCTTTCCGTGGGGAGGATGCTTTTATGCTCTGTGGGGACTCACCATTAGCACTTGGGAAGAGACAGGTTGTATGCATTGCTGCAGATTTAAGACAGGCCCCTGGGAAGACTGAATGGCATGGGAAAGTCACAGAGCAACTGTCTGATCATGGAACACTGGCTGTCCCGAGACTCCACGCCTCCCAGAGATCCTCGGCCAAGGGAAGGGTCACGACTCACCAAGGCAGCTCTTCCTTCCTTCCTTCCTTCTTTATTTGTTTGTTTGTTTTAAGAGAAAAGGTCTTTCTATGTTGCCCAGATCTGGAACGCCTAAGCTCAAGTGATCCTCCCACCTCGACCTCCCAAGTGGCTGGGACTACAGGTGCACACCACTGCCGCCGTGCCTGGCTTTCTTCCTAACCTTTTATCATTAATGTGAATCAGAAAGAGATTTTCATGGGTTCACTTGGATACTCTGGCCAAGAACCAAGAGAAAAGCTGACTTTTAAAAGCATAGAATTTGTGTAAATGTATTCAGGTCTAAATCTATCTGAGCTACTTTCCACCCTCTATTCCAGACATGCTGTGATCTCCTCAACAGAACGGTGGCAACGCATTCTCACAAGGTTGAAAGGAACACGAAAGGATGGAGCCTCAGAGCCAGACGGCCCTTTGTGAGAAAGGGGGAGCAGGCAGGCAGTCTGGCTTCTCACAAGGAAAGGGACGCTGGGGATGATCCAATCCAGGAGTAGCAAACAGTTTCCATTTCTGTTGCCAGCTCCCAGAGATTGGTTGGGAAGCAGGTTCTTGGGATGCTCATCTTCAGAGGAACTCTGGGGCTGTTTCTGTGCCCAGCTGGAAAAAGTGCTACATTAGCTTCCTAGGGTTTCTATCACAAATTACCATAAATGTGGTGGCTTAAAATGACAGAAATGTATTCTCTCTCAGTTCTGGAGACCAGAACCCTGAAATCAAGGCTCCGGCAGAACCACGCCCTCTCCAAAGGCTCCAGGGGAGAATCTTTCCTCGCCTCCCCACTGCCGATGGCCCCGTGGTGTTCCTTGGCTGACGGCAGCACCCCTCCACCCTCTGCCTCTGTCATCCCTTGGCTTTTTCTCTTTGTGCCTCTCTGTGTGTACATCTCCCTCTCTTTTCTCTTACAAAGACATTGGTCATTGGATTTAGGGCTCACCCTTCATCCACGATGATTTCATCTTGAGATCCTTAACTAGTTACAACTACCAAGACTCTATTTTGAAACCAGGTCACATTTTGAGGTTCTCGGTGGACATGTGTCTTGAGGGGACATTATTCAACCCAGTGCAAATGCCATGATGGTTTAGCAAGCTGGACGTGGGTTTGGGGCTAGGCAGGGATGGGGCTCATGTCTTTTGCCTTCTGATCTGCCATGCTGATCTAGCCCAAGCCCACAGCTTTACAGATGATAGCAGAACTGAGGTTCAAACAATAAAAAGGTCCTGACCAGTACCACATAACTACGTAATGCCAGAGGAGTCAAGAACAGAGAAAGAAAAAGAGGTGGGGGAGGCAGTTGGGATGGGGAAGTGTAGGGTGGGAGGGGATGAAGACGAATATTACTGCCTTGATTGTGGAATAACTGAGAAGGGCATCTTTGCATTTAAAACCATTGGCCAAAGAGGATCTAGATGGGACAAGAAAATAACAACCAGCCAATTAGAGAGAAAATGTAGGCGTTTTAGAAGAATTAGTACCGCACTGGGGATCAGTTTGCAGAAGATCATCTGCCCTTTTTCTGGCTAAAGGAATGAGAGCTCCTCTCACTGGGCAAAAGCCTTTCCAGGCTGGTCCCTGAAAGCATCATGCGTACAGATGCCTGCTGGTTGCCATGGTGAATGATGCTGATCTGAAGAAATGAATAATGTGAGCGTTAGGGTGACAGTGGGATTACTCAGTGTTGAGAGAAACAACACGGAGAGCCCAGAGCGGAGGAGGGAGAAGGCACGATTCTCGCAGCTTTGGTCCTACTCCACCTCGGAGGGCACAGCTCTAACCAGACACACTGCGAGCATCAGGTAAGGGATACAGATGGCTCTTCTTGGACATGGAAATGGCTTCTCTTTTCACGCTTTGCTTGGAGAAGGGCCAGGCAATGGTAAATGAATAGCTAAAAACAGGGGAGAATTTAGAAACAGAAACAGAGGAAGAAAAACCATTAAGGGAGATGGATCTGGCCCTAAAAGCTGAGGATGCTGTTTGTGTCTTGGCAGAAAGCTCTTAAAAATGTCTGCTGAGGTAATTCCGTGTGTACAGACAGCCAGTGGCAGATAGGAAGCCAAGAGAACATTTGTGCGTGACAAGAAACAGGATTCCTGATTACTCCTGACGGAGGGTTTGACACAGGTGGCTGCCTATGTATCATAAGTAATGAATTAAGCTCTTTTCATTGTGGTCAGAAGTATATTTATAGGGATGTGTGGGGTGGGGAGGATGAATGGGTAGACACCAAGCAGGGAGCATAAACATTCGGTCTCCTTCATGATGACCTTCCCTGGAAGGGTCTGAACACATCTGTCTCATCCCTTTCATTCCCCATTTTCTGGGAAGAAATTTTCAGCCACATGGAAAGATACTATTCACCTTCCTGAGCATCTCAGTTCACTGTTACTGTTAGAGAAGAAAAACAAGGACCGAGAAATCACTCAATGCTGTGCACCTTTCTGCAGCTCATCTCCTGGAGGAAAATGGGCAAACACAGGAGCGTGGGTGAAAGCGGAGGAGAGAGAAAGGCAGGTCATAATAGCCATCAGTTTGGCTTCATATCCAATGCAGGTGAAAATCCAATCGACAGCTGTTTACTATGTCACTGCAACCCAAAATAAAACCTACTGGGTTTTATGTGCGAGAGGAGGGGCGGAGGACAAAGCAGGGTGAGACCTTTATGTGAACGTACCTAGGCTATGACTGTCTCTGTATTTCCGATCACGGGAAATCAGTAGAGGGAACTGCATGAGAGGAACTAAAATACTTGAAGATGGCTCCGTCTTATCAAAGTGGGGCCTGGCAATCTGAAGAGGGCTCATTTGATTTGTCAGGAAAAACAGCAACTGGGTCTCAGCCCTGGCACCTCATTTTGCAATAGCAAAACTAAACCCAGCAGCCGTGCATTAGGAAATGCAGTGCTTAAGTGGCTTTGAGTCTTTCTCTCTATTAGCGGCATGACATCTGGTTGCTCATCCATAAAATGGGAATCAAGCTCAGAGGGTGTGAGGAAGAATAAAGGAAATTAATTACTGTCTGCGAATCATCTCGCACGACCCGTGACATAGCAAGCACTTTCTGTGAGTGGTTACCATGATCAACATTCATAATACCAGCAGAATTAAATAGTGGTAGTTATGCTGATATTAGGGGCTGATTATTTTCACCTATGAAATAAATTTCCTGGTACCACTGGCTTTGAAAAAACAAACGAACGCAACAGGAGCAGAGGCTTTGGGGTGAAATCAGCTGCCAAAGAGTGACGAAGCGATTTTCCACTCACCATGGGCAACAGAACCAGGAGGCTAAAAAAAAGCAGTGGGCAGAATGTTCTAGCTCACTGAGCTCACAGTACTTGGAGCAGAAACAGGAGGTCAAGAAGGAAAATTCAGGTGAATCATTGCCTGAGGGGAGGTCACAAACCTGAGGATGAAGGTGGAGCCTCTGAGGTTCTATTGATTTCTCCTTACCTTTTCTTCTTTTTTCTTAAAGGGATGAGAAAGATGTTGTTATGTGAAGGATTTCTGCAAGGGTGAGATGTGGCTGGGATTACATGGGTGCATGTTTCCTTAGGCCCGAAGGCCACCAACTCTGACATGGGACAGCCCCGGTTTTAACTTTTGTCCTGCCTTTTCTTCACTATGCCTAAATAACAGAGCCTCTCGGCCTCCACTGCTTTGTCTGTAAGATGAGGGCAACAGGAGTGCCTATCTTAAATCTGCAATAAATGGTGGCTATGATTATGATAAGTACATACTTAAATCGGGGGATGTCACTCTTCACGTTGATTCTGGTTTCAGAATCGGGATGAACATCGAGGTTGGGAACATTTCTCATACAGGAGCCATCATCTCCTGGTCACCCTCGGAGCCCTGCCTGGAGGACTATTACCATATTATGTATAGGCCCACCTGGAACAGCATCTTCTCTGGCTATCTTCGCTACAGCTTCCACCACGAGGAGAAGGTGCCTCGAACGATCAGCTCCGTGGTGCTGGAACATCTCGCCCCTTCCACTTTCTACTTCCTGTGCATCAGCTGTAAGAAGGCTGCCTTCCCTCACAGGCACTACTGCACCATGTTCCACACCCTGGATAAGAGTCCACTGGCTGCTGGAAGCTCCCTGGGAGACCCCCAAATCTCCCTTTGGGTGCTGATGGCCATTCTACTGGCCTGCTTCACAGCCGTCTTGGCCTTCATCTGTCTCCAGTTCTGGTGTGTCCGCTACCATGAGCCGCGATGGTCCTACAGAGCTGGCCAGGTGGAGGAGGCCAATGGGTTGGTGAGATGGCCGGAGGAGGCCCCAGCTCTCGGTCAGAGGGAGGAAGATCTGCAGGGGCTCCCCCTGGTGGAAGTGCCACGCAAGAACTCCAGAGATGGAGCTGAACCGGACCCCGAAGTCAACCAGGATGCCTCTGATGCGGGTGCCTTACAGAGGCGGGGTGGTAACCAACTTGCCACACTGCCTCATTGTAGGGAATAAGAGCGGGGAGGAGAGGGCCCACATCATGTAGCCTAAAGCTTTCCACACAGTAGGTCTTTTGTACAAATGTGTCTATAGACTACCCATTTCTCTCCCACTGTGGGTCACCTAGGTTGGATGAGTGCCCCAGGACAAAGCTTCTCAAGTTGGAAAATGTATCCCCCAGGGTATGCCAAGGTACAAACAGGGCATCTCTGCAGCAGTGTCCACTCGGGGGACATAGTTAAGAACTGAAAGCATTATTTGAACATTAAAACAAATATGGATATGTTATAAAGTAGAAAGCAGAAATTTACACGACTGACATGAAGCAGTACTTGAAGGAAATGTTTGAGTTGCAGGTAGGCTCTCTGAGGTACACTTTTGGGCAAAGGCAGATGTCCAGTTTCCTCTGCCCTTTAGGGGATTATTTGGAAAAATGTGAGAAGCTTCTTTTAGGCCATCACACACCACCTGTCTCTACTGTTTTAAACCATGAATTATCTTTAGTATTAATACTTTCCTTTAAATTGACTCATTCTAAAGTGTAAACTTATTTTCAAAGACAGCCTATGAAAAGCCAGCACCCTCCTGCTACAAACAGAAGGGAACAGATACAAGAATAAACATCATGAAAGTAAGATAATATTCAATCTGACTTAGCTTCTACTGCCTGCCAGTGACTCTGAGCTTCATGCTTGCTTGCTTGTCTTTGATAAAAAGAGATCCAGTGTTGGAGAGGTAATAAAGACACATTAGTACCAATATTTGCCTTTCTTCTTGATATAGCATGAAGTTTGAAAAGAGAATCGAAAGGGGAAGTGCTATTTTTACTTTGTGAGTCCATGTTAGTTTTAACAGACATGGCATTTATGCCAGAACCACCTCAAATGCTGTCAATCAGCTTCCCTTGATTTGAGAAAACTGCCTTGACCAGACCAGGCTGGTTGTTCTGGAGATGTCTGTACTTTGCCAGCATCATCCTAAGACCTTCCAAGTGCCCTCTTATGTATACGGAGGACAAAATTCCAGAATCACAGGATGACAATGCTATGAACCAACTGAGACACAGCAGGAGCTGAGAGGTCAAGACAAGAAGCCCCACATCCCTATTTCCTTGCCCCCTCCATAAAGTAAATCCTCACCTGACTGCTCAGCCTTCCCGACTCAGCACCCAGTCTCCAGGGTCTGCTTTTGCCCTCATTCCTGCTACTTGTGAACAAATAAAGATGCATATACTCGCAGATGTTTCTGCCTGGCTCTCATTGCTGCCTTTTCCCTTTCTTATTAGAGACAGAGTCTCCCCCTCCCACCCAGCCTAGAGTGAAATGGTACAATCATAGCTCACTGCAGCATCAAACTCCTGGGCTCAAAGGATCCTCTTGCCTTAGCCTTCCAAATAGCTGCTGGTGCATGCTGCCATGTCTGGCTAATTTAAAAAATTTTTTCTTTTTCTTTTTTTTTTTTTTTTTTTTTTTTTAGAGACAGGGTCTTACTATGTTTCCCAGGCTGTCCTCAAATTCTTGGTCTCAAGTATCCACCCGCCTCAGACTCTCAAAGTGCTGGGATTAAAGGCATGAGCCGCTGTGCCTGGCATTGCTGCCTTTATCTCTGCACCTTCATGCTCGTCTAATTCAGGGACACTTTTCTATTTGCTTTTTCTCACCAACCCTCTTCTAGGCAGGGTAGGGCAGGACTACTTACCTTAGATCCATAGAGGTAATAAGGCTGTACGTTGGCAGGTTTGTCTCGTTGTGGTTCTTGGGTGAAAGGAATGGCAGTCCGGACAAAACTAGTAGAAGCAAAGGGATGGGGAAGAGTTAAAATGGTCCTGATATTCTTCTTCATGGGGCACAGATAGCAGGAGTGCTTCCTGACCAGGTGAAGGTTTGCATTGGTACAACTGCACCGTTGGTTAGGTGACTTTTATAAAGGTACTAAACTTTTCCAACATCTTCCCATTCAACGACTATCTCCTTTCCATAGATGGGAAAACTTCAGTCTAGATTCCTGGGCTCAACAAGGGGCTTGTGGCTGCTCAGAAGGACACTAGGCAAGTAAGTTAAGAGTGGGGCAGGCTTGAACATAGCTTTCTCTGGAGCTCCACTCCTCTACCTCCAGTTTGGTTTCTCGAGAGCAGAGTTCAGCAAACTCTTTCTCAAAAGAGCCAGGCAGCCAGTATTTTCAGCTTTGCAAGCCAGTCTCTCCTGCCAGTACTCAGCTCTGCTGTTGCAGCATGGAAGCACCCATAGACAATAATAAACAAATGGGCACGACCGAGTGCCAATGAAACTTTATCAATTACAAATCATTTTCACCTAAATATTATTATTCTTTGGACTTTTTCCCTTCAACCACCTAAAAGTGCGAATACTATTCACAGCTCACGGGCTTTACAAAAACAGTCCGCAACTAGATGTGGTCTGTGAGCCACAGTTAGCTGCTCCCTGCTCAAGAGCGTTAAAACTCCTAAATCTTTACAGAACTGGAAATCTATCTCAGTTAGTGTATGGATTCAGATGGATTTGTGCCCATCTCCCACATCCTTCCATTCTTTCAACACATACTCATTTAATACTGACCTGAGCCAAGCCTTAGGGATACCTACAAGATCTGAAGATGAATACATTTTTTTGCCTTCTTACGTACTTACTTTGTATGTGAATATATATGCCTCACCTCTTCGACCAGGTTACGAGCCTTTGTTGGGATAAAGAAATTAGGTCTTGCCCCCGCCAGTGCCTGGCCTAGGGCTGTGTGCACCTTGCAGGAGGCAAGCTCCACTTGTTACGCATATGTGTGCTCTGCAAATGTATGCTGTTTTGCATGCATGCTTTCAGACATGTGGATATCCTTACAAGCACATAATCTGATCATGTCACCTCCTTTCCTCAAATTCTTTCAGGGTCAATAAAAACGTAATAAAAATTGTACAAGCGTACAATCTGATGTCACCTCCTTTCCTCAAACTCTTTGAGGGTTAATAAAAATGCACGATCCTGCCCTGGCCTCTAGAGTACCGCACAATCTGTTCCTGTGTTATCTTTCCCACCCGACGTGTTTCACTCTCATCAACCTCTCAGAGAAACCCTTAAGATACTTGCCTGGAATATTCTTCTCCTGCCTTTTTGCCTTAATTAGTCCTACTCATCCTTTGCATCTTAACTCCAGCATTACTTCCTCAAAAAGGAAGCCTCCCTTGAGGTTTGCAAGACTTTTTGGATTAAAATAGGTGGTGCTGTTACCTCTGTCATGGCCCTATGGGCTTTCCTTCATCTTCTTATTCACTGTTCATAATGGTACATTTGTCATGTGACTGTTTGATGACTCACATCTTCCTCTAGCCTGAAGACTCAAGAGGCAGAAAGGTATCTGTTCACCAGGGCATGCCACATGTTTTACTGGGGCAGTAAAACACCCAAATGGGCAACTTCAGAATAGTACTAGAAAGAGCTCTTCAATGAGAAGACCTAATTGTTAATCACATTCAACTGTCAACCAGCTCTGTGACCTCAGGCAAGCGACAGAGCACAAAGCCTGTGCCCAGGAGGTGCTCTGAGAAACACCTGTTGCAGGAACCACTCACATGTGTGCTGATCCTAGTTTGGAAGAGGCAATGGTCACTCTCCCAACCCCTGCCCACCCGCCTCTGCACAGGGACTCCCTTACCGGTTCGTGGACCCATTGTAGCAGTAGTTGGGGAGAAAGTCAAAGTTCAGTTCCCAGAAGACATGCAGGGTGATGCGGCCGTAGGGGGCGGACACATTGTGATTGGCCTCCCGGAACATGGCATCAAAGCTGTCCAGCGTCATGTGCTTACAGAGCAGCCGGTGCGTGAGCCGGTTAATCTCCAGCAGCCACTCCAGCTCCTGCCCAGAGAGAGAGCCCACAACTGCTGAGGACTCACTTGTAAGCCTTACATGTGTGTGCTTTATCTTACTGATTCCGTTCACGCAAGTGACAGCTGCTCAGACAACTTCCCGACCATCTACATGGGAACTAGGACCCTACTGTAGCAGGTGACAAGGTTTCCTTCTTCTGAGAAGTGGAAGGATTGTCAGACTATGCTAGGGGCAAGGGAGAGGAAGGGGAGGCTGCATGCCTACCCTGTGGAAGGAGACCATGAACCATGTGCAAATCCCCTGATTACATTCCTTTGGGTAGAGAACAAGCTTACTTGCTTTCCAGTTTCTGTATCAGTGAGAAAAAAGCAATAATAAGAGCTACCACTGATTGAGGGCTTACTGTTAGGTTAAACCCTATAATGTTACTGTTTGTTTAAGGTCAAATACTGGCAATTTTGCATGGTGCAACCAAATCAGTACGTGCCAGTTTTACATGCATCAACTCATTTAAAGCTTATCAAACCCTATGCGGTCAGTATTGCTGTTCTCATTTTACACATATGGAACCTGAGGCTTTGAGAAGTTAAGTAACTTGGCTTCAAATCCAGGAGGCTCCAAAGTTCACATTCTTAACCGCCATCTCTAACAGCTATAGAAATTTTTAAAAGAGGTGGGAGCAGAATGTCTCATCCTTTGGAGTACAGGCCCCTTGAGGTATCACATAGCGGTGGCAAAGGCGTGGCTACAAGCCATGGGCAAGCAGTCTATAATCAGCTCATAATGACCTGAAATCTATGTGCACTGTGGGCCCTGAATGAAGAAATCCCATCTTCAGGCAAAGTGGAATACTTCAGTGGACAGTGTCTGCACACAGCAGGACATGGCATTTGTTGGGAAATGAAAGAAGAGTGTAACTCTTTCAACACGCTTTGGTCTCTCACTGTCCTGTAACTTCCCCCCACTGCTTTCAAAAGGAACCAAAGCACAGTCTTGTGTACAGACAGAAAGCACCTGAGGCCACTCCTATGTTGTTTTGCTTAAGCCATCTTGAAGACAGGTACAATGGTCCCTCATTCATAGGGCGGGGAAATGGAGGCCCAGAAGGTTAAGTAACTTGCCCAAGGTCACCATAACATGGCTTAGGATGTGTATCCAAGTCTCCTTATTCCAAATCCTGTGTTCTTGGCCCCTAAGATACAGTTCTCTGGAATAAGGATGCGAGAGCTGTGAAAGTCCTCTGAAAGGCAAAGGTGGCTTTACAACATAAAGGCTAAAAAAACATTGGCAAGGCCAATTCATTAGAGCATGGCCAGGTGGGATGGCCATGGAGTCAGCTGTAATGGCTGGAGTATGTCCACAGGAGGCAGCCTCATGCCAGAGATTCAATTGCATTCTCATTAGCCACAAAGACCCCTGGATGGAGACCAGAGTGTGCTCAGGTGGAGATCCCAGGTGATGTTTCCAATTTTTGGAGCTCTGCCTCTCTGAAACTCAGATTCTGTGGCTGTAAATTGAAACGTGCAGAAATGGTTGACGGCTTGCAAACATACACAGCTAAAGAAACCAGACAGGTCAGGAAAGTGGGATCAACTGGGGTGAGGACAAAGTTTGGGGAGTGGGTCCATCTATGGGAAATTGAAGGGCCCTGCCCAGGTAAAGGTAGAGCTGCTACTTCTGATACCCTGTCAGACTGCTGCCATATTGGAGTGGGGGATTACAGATGGCAAATCCTGCAATTTTTCAAAACAAGGTCAGAACTTCAATTCTGCAACAGCATCCAGAGGAGTAAGTTTCCAGTCATTGTGCACCATGAAGTAAATGAAGGGCAGAATACAGATCCAGCTTTCTGATTCTGTCTCCTGGGGGTGTGGCTAGCTGCAATATGTCTTTATTCTGATTCACTTAGAATGGGTACTAAATAAATGAAAAATGCATGAAGTAAGCGCTGCCAAGTTTATTTCTAACATCACTGAGTCCCTGGCACACTCTGGTGCCTTGCTACTGGGAAGACGACTGGGAAGCTGGGCAACAATTTCTGTGTTATCGTTCTGTGACTTTAGCAGTCTCATAGCAGGAGACTGAAGAATAGGCAGAGGCTGCTGGAACTGCAGGTCCACTTCTTCCTGCACATTATATAACCCAAACGATATTTCTGCATCACATTTTGGATTTGTTCTCCTGGCCTTGAAATCAGAAGAGGGCGTGTGCCTGCTGGATGCAGGGCTCCATCTACCAAAGCAAGGAAAAGGCTTAGAAGGCCACATGGGCAGTTTAGGGGTTTCTGAAGAGGATGGCAGCTTTCCACAGTAAGTCTGGTTTACTAAAGGCCAACGCAGAGAAACAGAACTGGGAAGTAAAACACCCAAATGGGCAACTTCAGAATAGTAGCATAAAGAGCTCTTCAGTGAAGGACCTGATTGTTAATCACATGCAACTGTCAACTAGCTCTGTGACCTCAAGCAAGCGAGAGAGCAAAGGTCTCAAACTCAGTGCAGTGAGGCCTGGTGGGTCACACACATACACGAAGTCAGCCAGTGGGGCTGTGTAAGCTAAAGAAAGCGCAGCCCGTCTCAGGATCTTCCAGGCATTGCTGGACAGTCGTTACCATCTGGGAATGCTGGTCTGGCACTGCCAGGGCTCCTGTAGTTTTATTTGAATTCTTCCAAATGTTAAATGTTGGCTCAAAGTTACAAACGAACTATGCCGCCTAAATGAAATGCTGCCCGTTTTCAACTTCAGCATAAGGTCTTGCTGAGACTCTGTTTGCTCAGCTGTGGAAAATGAGAGCAACTAACTCCCCAAATCTTTGCAACATCAGAATCAAGTTGCCTCCCCATCTCAGAATGGAGTTTTTCAGGTGGAGGGAGAGGCTGAGGGGAACTCATCCCCCACTTTGTTTCTTGGAGGAGGTAGAAGCTGCTCAGCCAGGGCCAGCAGGGGTCATCCTGACCCACCAGGAGAGCGTTTCCCTGAGCTCTCTTCATGGGCTTCCCAGGAACTGGTGTTCTCTGTGGAGCCACTGCCCTCAACTGATAAACAAGCGCTTTCACTGCTTGTTTTGATTTTGTTCCCAGATAAAAGAACATTTAGTGCTTTTCAACAGGTGGGAGGAGGCCATGGAGACACATCTATCCCAAATCTTTTTTTTTTTTTTTTTACCATAAGATATGCTCATTATTGGAAAATTAGAAGATACAGATAAACAAAAAAGAAAAAAAATCCCACTACTTGGAGCTAATCACTGCTAATGATTTGGCTTAAAGAGTAACTCTGTTTCTCAAAATAGAGGTGGCCGAACGATTTCTCAGCAAAACATGAGCTGTACTACAGTCTCTTGAAGTAAGTAACCCAGGACTTAGGTGGCTGGTTAGTTCAAATCCTAAGAAATTCTGTTGAAAATTCACCCAAAATCACTGCATTGCAGCCCCAAATTAATTTTTCTCTCATCTTTTTTTTTCTTTCCAGAAGCTATTACTTATTAAGGGCTAACTATGTATACAAAGAATTCTGCAAAGCTCTTTCGAGGCAGCATCTCATTTTATCTCTATAGTAACGCTAACAGGTGGATTCTGATATTCCTTCCACATCTACAGATGAGGAAACAGGTGTGGAGAAGCTGAGTCACTTGCACCCAGTCACCCAGCTAGGACCAGAGTCCTAGTTCAGTGTCACTTTTTTACTACTTTGTCCACTTAAAATAAAACCCACCTTTATTTAAAAATAATTTGAGACTTATTGAAAAGTTGTAAAAACAGCATACCCTGCATATCCTTTACCCAGCTTCCCCCCGCCGTTAACATGTGGCGGAACATAGCACAATTATCAACAGAAGGAAATTAACTTTGGTACAACACTGTTAGCTGAATGACAGGCTTTCATTGGGTTTTACCAGTTTTCCCACTGAAGTCCTTTTTCTGTTCTAAGATTCAATCCAGGATTCCACGTTGCATTTAGCTATCATGTTCCCTTATTCTTTCCTAATTTCTAACAGATTTCAGTCTTTCCTGTCTCTCAAGACCTGGATACTTTTGAAAAGTATTGTATCGTTCACTTTTTTTTTTTTTTAGAATGACACTTGATTTGGGTTCACCTGATATTTTTTCATAGTTAGACTGAGACTGCATTTTGGCAAGAATATATGATAACAACAACAATATTTCTTACTGCTATTAACTTTGATACTTGGTTAAGATGGTGTATAATTTTCTCCACTGCAGAGTCATTCTTCCCTGTGTAATTAATAAATATCTTGGGAGAGAGAGTTTGAGACTATGCAAGTATCCTGTTTCTTCTCAAAGATTTTTTGGTTTAAAACATTTTTTTTTGCTAAGATATACATAAAATTGAACATTGTAACCATTTTTAAGTGTGCTGTGGCATGAACTACATTCACATTGCTGTGAACTATCAGCCCCATCCTTTTCCAGCAGTGAAACTCACCTTCTCCAGTTGAAACTCTGTATCCATTAGATACTATCTCCCTCTTCCCTGGCAATCACCATCCTACTTAATGTCTCCACAAATTTGCCTACTGTAGGAACCTCATATAAGATAAATAATGCAACATTTTCCTCAAAGTTCTGCCCACTTATTTTAGCATGCATTGATGGCTCTTGCCTATAGTCTTTATTATATTCTAATGGTGATTTTCCATTTCCTATTCCTTCTGTTCATCTGCTTTTAAAAGCACTGAAGTCTTCCTTTGATTTACTAAATGAACAACCAGTCAAGTTTACTCTAATTCTTGAAGAGACAGAATTAGCAGGGAGCTGTTTAAATTGCTGTTTTCTGGGAGAGAGGAGTAGGCCTATTCCAGGCTTGTGCATAAGGACCCGTTACATAATCTGCAGGGTACAATGTTTAATGAAAATGTGGGGTCCCCTTGTTTAGGAATTTCAAGATGGTGACAGCAAAGCAGTAAACCAGCCACAAAGCCCTTCTGTGCCCTGTGCTACTGCATACCCGTGAAGCCAGTCCTCTTGTGCAATTTTCCCTAGCTTCTTGGGACCACTCATCTACTTGCTCAGTTTGCAGAATCCTAAGAACACGCAGCTGTGAATGAGGGTGGGCCATCTCTAGAAACGACAGAGTGGAGACCCCCTCCACTCTATCGTTCCCAAGGCAATCAGGAACATAAGATTATTCTTATTCTGTGTAAGTCTGTCTTTCCCAGCTCCATTCAGATGGGAAAGAGACTCACTGCCCCTCTTTAACTGGCCCAGCACTAGACTAACTACAATCCCCATCTAGGCTTCTCGTCTGATAAATCCCAGAGCAGAAACCCATCAGCTCCCAGACTCTTACCACAATGGAGGTCAGGTCCTCGCTCTCAAAGCGGCTGATAGCCTGGTCCAAGGATTTATACATGGCGGCAGAGATGCGCTGGGTAATGAGTCTGTTCAGGTCAATTGATCTACCCAACAGCTGGATGGAGAGAGAGAGAAAAAAATTACTTAATATTCACACTGGACAGGTGCAGTGGCTCATGCCTATCATCCCAGCACTTTGGGGAGCGAAGGTGGGAGTGAGACAGCCAGGTGGGGGGCAGGGTCCCTCATGAAACTCCAACCAGCCTTGTGACTGTCCCTGTTTCCCTACCTTTTTTACTTTTCACCCAATAAAACCCTGCTTTACCCACCATTTAAACTGTCTGCAAGCCTAAATTTTCATGTCCATGGGACGAACAAGAACCCTGTCTTTATGTGAACTAAAGAACAGGAGGAGAGCTTGAGCCCAGGAGTTTGACACCAGCATGGGCAACATAGTGAGACCGTGTCTCTACAAAAAATAAAAAAATAGCCAGGTGTGGTGGTGTACACCTGTAGAACTAGCTACTTGGGAGGCAGGAGGCCGGAAGATAGCTCAAACCCAAGAGTTCGTGGCTGCAGTGAGCTATGATTGCACCACTACACTGCAGCCTGGGTGACAGACAGACCCTTTCTCTTAAAACAAACAAAACAAAAAAAGATTCACACTGACAACCTGACAAGTATGTGCATGCACTGATAGGAAATTGCATTAAAATTCTAAAGGACATAACTGGGACAGTTTCTATTCTGATTTTATAAGAGAACGTCCTTGTTATTAGGAGATACAGGCTGAAGCATTCAGGGGTGAAATGTCATATTCGGCAACTTAAACTCTCAAATAGTTAAGAACAGCAGTATGTATATTCATCTCACACACACACACACACACACACTGTGTAAGTGCTAGAAAGAAAATACATACATGAGAGAGAGAATGTGAACAAAATATGGTAAAAGATTAATACTTGCAATCTGGCTACACGGTAAATAAATGTTCATCGTATTATTCTTTTGACTTCCCTGTAGGCTTGAACTATAGGAAGTTTAGGAAAAATAGGATTCACTCAGGCTGTGGGAAGGGGCTCTGGGTAGGCTCTGGCTTCCCATAAATGTTGCTGTTGACATCCTAAATCTAGCCCTGAGGTTCTTCCTGCATCTTTCCTGTGCTCAATTCAGTTACCAGGGACACAGCAGCCGCCTCAGCAAGGGCCCACTTTGTGCCTTCATGAGGGAAAATTTAAAAGCAAGAGAATGAAAGTCTGATTACAGGATGGAAAATATAGCTTAAGGTACTTTCTGCTGGGGTACACGCAGGCATTACTGCAGATGCTATGCAGAGGGCAATGAACATTTGTCAAGTACCTGCTGTGTCCACAGTGCTTTGCTAGGTACCAAATGATTATTCTTAAGTGTTTTATTTTTGATACTTCTCTTTTGGCATAAATTTTCTACCAACCAACGAGGGCCCCTTATAGCCATCTCATGCACACATAAAGCGCTCAGTATTTAATATCCTGTGGCTAATTCTGGCTGCATTGTAACAGATAGCAGTAATCTTCTGAGAGGCTGAAGAAAAAGCTCTCATTGAGCCCTTGCTGTTGGCAGAAGTAAAGATTCTATTTCTCCCCCTCTTTAACGATTCTCCATTTCCCTTGGATTTCTCATAGCAAAGGGAATGTCCAGAGTTTGAGATGAATCCTTTGCTTTTCGCCTCTGGCACGGTCTTAGCCTCAACCTGGCCCTTTCACAAAGACCAGGACCACATAATAGCACACGGATATCACAGCATAAAGGCCATTTTGCCACCTGCTTGGCCCACAGCAGGGCTCTGGGAGGAGGGCTCGTCATTTGCCGGGCCATCTCTTCTGCTGTCTGTCTGCCTCACATTAACATTGTTAAATGGGGACGTTTCTCAGTTCCTAGCAACATTTCCTCTATATCGAGGGTCAAATGTTAATAGAAACCAACTCTGTACACACACACACAAAACAGTTTCTCCCATGGATTTGCCCTGATATGCTTTCCTTTCAAAAGCACCACTGTCTTCCTCATTTAGAGCGGCACTTGGGCCCTGTTCAGGGACAGATTTACCCGTCTCTGAGCGGCAGTCCCAACTGAAAAAAGTGGGCTGCAGCTTATGATAGAAGACAAAGGCTTTGATTGTCATGACTTGTCGGAGGTCGGTTACATATGGGTGGAGAAGCCCAGGACCCGAACCAAAGGAAGCCCAATGCCCCCAGGCTGCCTGTGAGATTCTGAGGCTGTGCTATACCCGAGCTCAGAAACCCGCACTGCGCATGCAGGGCAGACAGTACCCAGGCCTGATTTCTGATCTCTGTGCTGACTTTGCAGCTGCTCTCTCCTGCCCCTTCCATCTCCATGGTGGCTTCCTCTCACCATACCTGGACGTGTCTCTGCTTTAGCAGCGTTTCATAGCGATTGGACGGTGGATATGGAATGATGACTCCATAATTCTTACATTCAGCTCGAAAACGTTTATCCAACAGGACACTGGAAGGGATAAAAGTTAAACAAGACCAGTAAACAGACAGTGAATGACTCTGGACGGCCCAGGTACATCTATTTCAGACCATGGGATCTACCCACAGAGCACTAGCGTATATATCTCAAGTAGAATTGTTTTCTGCTTTACACAAGTTTCTGCAAATTTCTTTTCAGTCACAGCAGCTCAATATGTGAAACAGGATTTCTGAGTTAAAGATGGCCAACGTAGAAGTTGAGCCACTTTCCTCTTATTTATTTACCACAAAACCAATTGAGTGCATGCTTGGTGCATCCCAGGAAACATTCTGGGCAGCAGGAACACGAAGTTCCTGTCCTCATAGAGCTTATATTCTAGTGAGGAAAGACTGATAATATAAACACAAACAGAGGAATGAAAAAATTTCAGATAATAGGTAAGAGTTGCATAGTATTTATTATTTACAAGGCACCTGAAACACACATACACACACACACACACATACACACACACACACACACACCATTTTAAATCTCACCACAACCCTATGAGCTGGGAGTGTTATTATCTTTCACACTGAGGCATGGATTGCAGAGTACCAAGTGTTTGGAAAATAATAAAATGGGACCATTTGGAGTTAGGAAGTCAGGCAAAGTCTCCCTAAAGAAGTTTTACTAAACAGAGACCTGAATGATAAAATTGGAAAGATCTAGAGGAAGACTATCATTGAGACACTGAGCTTCGTTATGTTTGAGAAAAGGAAAGACGGCCAGTGTGGATCAAGTATAGTCCAGGCTTGAGAGCATGGTGCAAGATGAATTTATAACATCAGACCAGGGGCCAGGCCAGGTAGGTCCACGCAGGCCATAGTAGAGGCTGGGTGTATCCCAGACATAACTAAAAGTCATTTCAAAGTTTTATGCAAGAAAGAGACATCATCTAAATCTACACGTCCAACGTAGCAGCCACCAGCCACATGTGCCAACTGAACACTTGAGATGTGGCTGACCCTAATTGAGACGGACTGTAAGATACACACTGGATTTTTAGGACTTAAAAAAAAAATGAAAAATCTCTAATAATTTCTATATTGAATATATGTCAAAATTACAATGTTTTGGATATGGTTGGGTTAAATAAACATATTATTAATTTCACCTGTTTCTTTTCCTTTTTAAAATACGTCTACTAAAACAATTAAAATAACATCTCTGGCTCACATTTGTGGCCGAATGGCATATCTAATGAACAGGACTGACCTAGCTCATTGCTTTCCTCCTGGGCTTTCTCCAGGTCTCTCAACCTCCTCAACTTCCCATACTTCAAAGAAAATCGCTGATCTTACAGGGAAGGCTGTAGATAAAAGCCCATATTTCACATGAAGGAAGACCCAGGGTTCGACACGCCTGAGTCTGTTTATATAGATGATGAAACAGCCTATTTGGAATCAGAATTGTCTTATAGAAGCCAGAAGCCCAACTCACTGTTAGAACCATATTCCATTCAATTCACAGATGCCTATTAAGTGACTACTTTGTGAAAGGCTGTGTTCTCTGCCTCCTCTGAAATCCTACATGCATGCTCTTTCTTTTTTCTTTTTTTAATTAAAAAAGAAAAACATAACCTTTAATCAAAAAGTCTGATTAAATTCAATATTAATGCAAACTCTTAACAATTTTCTGGAAAAGTCAACAGGGTGCATCATAGAAAAGCAGACAGCTGCTGACAGTTCTTTGGTGGAAAAGTAAGTTGCAAACTTATCCGAGCTGCCCAAATGATTATCAAGCCAAGTTTGTTTTTCAAAAATAGGTTTTAAAATATACCAAAGAAACTATACAATACGAAAATTTAACAATGAAGTTAAAAGTATATAGCGAAAAACAAATATGACAATATACATGAATAATGTATAAAAGCAGCCTTTCAATCCTAGAAAACTAAAATTGGGAGAACTTACTGAAGGGTACCAAACATAAACTGAGGACTAATAGCAAGGAACAATCCTAAACATTTTCCCAATGACTGACTAAGCCTCAAAAAGACAGCTTAGGAAGACAATTAACATGTAGTTTTTTTCTCCTAGCCAATTCAGTTCTATTTAGATAAATCTGGTTACCAATCAATGCATATATAAATTAATTTCTTTCTACTCAATTACTACCATTTTTTTCTTTTTCACCTTTCCCCTAATTTCCTCTAGCAACACTTTTCCTTTGGTTTGATGAGCTGAACTCAAAAGGTTTGGTACCTAAAATGAGTATCAACTCTTATCGGAACAGCACTTGGGAAATGCAATCCTAGAGAAGGCAAATGTTTAACCGAGGGCGTGACAAAGTTAAGCATCCATTCTCCAAACGACAATGTCTCCCATGTTCACCGCTAGGTTAACGGTTGCGCTTGGCTAGATCACATGACCCTGTACGACAGTGGAATGCTCCCTGGTGAGGTACTGCAGGTGTGTGCACAAACACGCACCCATTTAAGCTTTTAATAAATGCAAAGCGTCATTTTAAATAATTTCAGTGGAATAAACTAAAACTATTGCATTTCTATTGGCCTGCTTTGCTTCTTGAGCTGGCTTGGAGTGTTGTTCGTGACACAGAAGACACAACAGTTAATTACCGGCTACTCCAAGCTCTTTAGGCTTCACCACTTCTCGCTCTTCAAGCCTCAGCACCTTTTTTGCAGCAATAATGGTATTCTTCATTAGCATTGCCACTCTCATGGGGACAACACCTCCAGGAACTGGAGTGATATAACTGGCTTTTTGTCTGACACCTTCAAAATCCACATCTCCAACCAACTTGGGTTTGGCAGTTATGGGATCGTGAACTCTATTTATTCCCACATCAATTAACTGCTGCTCCTTCCTTGATCATATCTGCTGTGAACAGATTTGGAATGCCTGCAGCAGATATTACAATATCTGCAAGAATTGTATGTTTCTTCAACTGCTCTTTGGGAGTATATCGATGAGATATTCTAACAGTGGCATCACCTCTGGGGCGTTCATGTGACCTGTCTGTGTGCAGTAACATTGCAATGGGCATTCCAACATTTTTTGACCTTCCAGCCACAACCACATTCTTCCCTAGGGTTGGAATGCCAGTTCGCTTAATTATTTCCCACACACCCCATGGGGTAGCCGGTAACATGGAATCCTGGTCCAAACACATTCGCCCTACATTAATTACATGAAAGCCATCAACATCCTTGACTGGAGAAACAGCATTGCAGGTCTTTCTCTCATCAGTAGGCTCTGGAAGAGGCAGCTGAACAAGGAGGCCATCTACGTTATCATCATTATTCAGTTTATTGATTAGATTCAACAATTCTTCCTCTGAAACTGAAGCCGGTTTCACAACTGTCTCACTGTTGATTCCCACATCTGCAGCTGCCCTGGTTTTGTTGAGGACATAGGAGTGATTGTAGGATTCTCAACAAAGAAGATCACACTCAGCTGTGGCTGCTTATTGCCTGAGGCCACGCACTCTTCCACCTCCTGCTACCCTTCCTGCTTGATCTGCTAAGCCAGTTTCCTTCCAGAAATGATCATGGCTTCATTTCGAACTGCCACGAGGTGGAAAGGGAGAGGGTGGAGGGAGCATCTGTGCACAGACTGCAACAGTCGGACAGCCAACATGGACGTGAGCGAAGGCACAGGCATAGCCCACGACAGTGACCATGCCGGGGGGGCCCTACGCGCACGCTTTCTATACTTTGCAGCCTTTAAGAGTCACGTTGTTGAATGCACAGCCTATGTTAACAGAAACTTGGGTGTGCGGCACATCAACTCCTGTTTGAAATATATCAGGGCTACTTTGGCTGTTAAAAGCAAAATGAAGCAAATCCTTTTCATAGAAAGAAAATTTATTAAGGTAAGGAACTATCCTTGGAATTACTGGTTGATATGTTTGGATTTCCAATAAGGATGGAAATATCTCTATATATAATTTGAGGTTTTCCTTGATCTGTGCTGTTACAGGTTCTTGAAACCCAAGAACTTGTGAGGGTTGAAATCAACATATTATACTGGCAATCCCCAGGAGCCTCTAAGCCGGACACATCTCTGATCCAGACTTCTTCACTGGCCTCGTCTGATTTGCACATACCCATTCTTCTCCAATTCATTCTTCACACATTTATATATTTAAGGGAATAAACTTTCAAAAGCAAATAAAAATCGAATCGGGTCACTGTGGTACTTTTGAAACCATCCGGAGGCATTCCACTCCTAGCAGAAGCAGCTACGAAACTGGTGTGCTCTGGCCCTGCCCACCTCTCCAGCCACATCAGGCAGCCTGCGCCCCCTCGTGGTGGTAAGGAGACACTGACATGCATGAATCCACAGGACTCCTCCCACCGTCCTGGGAGGTTGGCATGCTGTTCGCTTGATACTCCCGCCACAGCGGCCTTGCACAAGCAGTGCCTTTCGCCTGCAACTTCCTGCCCCATCCTTCACCTAGTTTTACTTTCTTCACTCCTACCAACTTCGGATAAGAACTCAGACACCACTTCCGCAAGATGGCCTTTCTAGTTCCCCGCCCCAAAGGTTTAACTGTTCAAATTTAACTGTCGTCTGTTCCCATGAGCTTTTCCCTCTGAGAGAGCATCGAACTTCCTTGTCACTGTGCATTCATGGGCCTTTAGTCAATGTCTGTCTTTCCTGCTAGACTGCAGGCTGTGTGAGGTTAACACCCTATCTGCCTAGTTTCCTTTTCACTCTATTTCAGCACCCAGTCCGGGCCCGTGGAATGTCTCCGTTTTCTTCAGGTGCTAAAGAAGAAGGAAGGTTTCACAACAGAAAGTCACGTCTTCCAGGTGGCAGTCTTAAGAGATTGGTACTCACAGCTCTAGGGCTTTCCTACCTGCCAGCCATGGCTTTGTAGTAAGCAAAGATCTGGTCTGCCAGCTTGTAGACAAACTGATCAAAACACAGGTTCACCTGGTAGAGAGGAAGCGGGAAACATTACTGGTGCCCATTCAGCTTTATCACAGAAACTCAGCCAACTGAAAGAGGCCAGTCCCGCAGGACTGCCCGAAATGCATTCTGAGGAAAGACACTTTGAAGGGGAGAAAGGAGATTCTGTGGCTAATTTTGGGAGGTTTCGTCCCTTGCTCTCAGGGTCCTCAGTCAGTCAACAGACAAGGCAAAGTGCAAAAAGGCTACTGAGGAACCGACCTCCCCATGGCCCCACTCCTCAGCCGTTCCGAGGCCGCCTGCCTGGGGGGATGCAACAGACAGACCATCAGAACCTGTCAGTACTCATATTCGCCCGCTACCTTGGCAGCCTCCCCATCCATCTCTTCTGTTAGACTTATTTTTTTTTTCCAACGTATTTTACTTTGCAATTTTTTTTTTTTTTTTTTTGGAGACAGAATCTAGCTCTGTTGCCCAGGCTGAAGTGCAGTGGTGTGATCTTGGCTCACTGCAACCTCCACCTCCTGGGTTCAAGCGATTCTCCTCCTTCAACCTCCTGAGTAGCTGGGATTACGGGCACCTACCACCACACCCAGATAATTTTTTGTATTTTTAGTAGAGACAGGGTTTCACTATGTTGGTCAGGCTGGTCTCGAACTCCTGACCTCAGGTGATCCGTCAGCCTCGGCCTCTCGAAATGTTGAGATTACTGCACCTGGCTGCAAATTTGTTTATGAAGTTGATAGTCACATTTAAAAGCCCCATCCTTCAAACTTTGCTTAAATTTCTTTGGTTTTCAATGAATAAAGTCTTGCCATTTCAGTCTTATCATCAGTGATAAACTGTAATGCTCAGGTGGGAAGAGAATTCACACCAGACACAGAATCAAACCGAATCTTCCAAAAAAGGCAAGAGCAGGAAATGACTATGAGATGGGGTAAGGGTTACACTCTTACCTGCCTTCTCTTAACTAGGTAAGAGTGTAACGTCAAAGGAAACAGATCATATTTACTATCATATTTAATATTTTAAGCCTTTTATCTTTAATATATACGTGATTAACCTTCAATTCTTTTCTCACCAGATCCTTGGCCCCATAAGGTTAACGACTCAAAATGCTTTCATATCTTTCATCTCGCACCCCACATGGTATGCAGAACACAAAAGCACAGTGCCGGGTTTAGTGCTTTCCTCGGCCCTGGGTCACTGAGGCCTCTGCCCTGCACTTTGTGCTTCAAGGATCATCAGTGGACCTCCCTCCGGGCAAAGAATCTATAGGGTCACGATGGGTGTATGTGGGGGAGGAGGTCCCATTCCCCCCTTCTAGAACTAGCTCTGAAAAGCTTATACAGGTGGCTCAAGCCTCTTCCAGGGCCGCGTGCTCTCTTCCCTGGCTTCACCTCTGGGTGGCACTATGGGTGTGTGTGATCATAGGTTTTAGGTCTGGACGCTGTTTTTGAGCAGAGGCGGCAGGCAGAGCTTGGGTATCTATACACATGCACACGAAGCCCTTTATGGTGCTGCACAGTTTGGGCGTGGGAGAAGAAAGAGAGCAGGCCCTGAGCTGGGTGTCTGTCTGTACTTCTGCCCTGAGAGGTGGCACAGGTCTTCTGACGGCCATGATCACAGACATTCCTCTCTAGAACAAGTCACTCCTACTCCTACTTCATGCTAATAGCAAAAGACTGGAAAAATCCAGAGTTTGGAACAAGATTAAAGGAGGAAAAAGAGAAGCATGTCACTTGCCTCAGCTTCGATCTCATCATACAGGAACTGCTTTTTGAACTTGGTCAGAGCATAGTAAGCGCTGTCGTTGTACAGATCCAAAGGGTAGAGGACATACCTGGACAGGGAAAACACAGCCAGCTGCTTACTAATGACCCCCCTAAAGGAAGACAGTTTTATACCTGCTTGGGAAATAGAAACAAGTTCAGAGTCAGGAAAAGACCGTCTTTCGGCTGTCTCTTATGTTCCCAGAGCCTCCACCACTTAGGAACAACTTACTTTACAGTCGGACCAAAGAAATAAAAAGTTTGAGATGCAAATAAAACCAAGACTTGTAAACATTCATCTGGGACTAAAAGACATGAGGCGGCAGTTAAGAATACGAGCTTCCTGGCCGGGCGCGGTGGCTCAAGCCTGTAATCCCAGCACTTTGGGAGGCCGAGGCAGGTGGATCACAAGGTCAAGAGATCGAGACCATCCTGGTCAACATGGTGAAACCCCGTCTCCACCAAAAATACAAAAAATGAGCTGGGCATGGTAGCGCGTGCCTGTAGTCCCAGCTACTCAGGAGGCTGAGGCAGAAGAATTGCCTGAGCCCAGGAGGCAGAGGTTGCGGTGAGCCGAGATCGCGCCATTGCACTCCAGCCTGGGTAACAAGAGTGAAACTCCGTCTCAGAAAGAAAGAAAAAAAAAAAAAGAATACGAGCTTCCTGATCCTGAGATGATTATTTTCTGAGCATAGTTGTTATGAGGCTGACAAGACATAGGAAGGGCAGTTGGGCTGGGAGAATTTATCTACAAGGCTGCGTTAAATGATTCTGTCTGGCCTGAGCTCTCCCCGTGGTGGGGCACATGGCCTGGTTTCTTTCCAACTTAGTGCCTCCTTCTGGAAAGAAGGAACTCCCTGGCAAACTGCCCTCCACTTGCACCCCAGGAGCCACCTGCTGGCCCAGTCCTGCCTCTTACTCCATCATAGAAGGTTCTTTGGTTTCCAGGATATGGTCCGTTAGAATCCAGGGCATGGACATCTCAATGGGGAACTGAATTCGTCGGCCCATGGTTAACTCCAGGAAGAATTCTCGGAACCAGAGCTGGGAGAGGTCACAACATTGCTGCAGGGCTTCTGAAAGTATAAGGGAATGAGCCTTGGGTTACACTTGCGTTGAAAGACCTTAGTTCTTATTGTTTTAATTAATTTTTATTGTTCTTGTCACTGTGTTAGGTATGTAGCAGGTCTTAATATTGATTAATAGATCCTGCTCTCTTTTACTTAAAGGCACACCTAACATCTACTTGGAAAATGGTATTTGCTGAGCTTGAGAGGCAGTGGTTGTGGGTGGCGGGAGAGAAGAGGAGGCAGTGACCTTTTAGAGCAGGCGTCCCCAAACTACAGCCGCATGCGGCCCCCCGAGGCCATTTATCCGGCCTCCCGCCGCACTTCAGGAAGGGGCACCTCTTTCATTGGTGGTCAGTGAGAGGAGCACAGTATGTGGCGGCCCTCCAACGGTCTGAGGGACAGTGAACTGGCCCCCTGTGTAAAACGTTTGGGGACGCCTGTTTTAGAGCTTTAGATTCCCCTATAGTTCCCACCACCCTCCTACAAAGCCATCCTGAAAACCTGTAATCTAAGCATGAAAAGTACAGTTGTGACTGGGCACAGTGGCTCGCACCTATAATATCAGCACTTCAGGAGGCTGAGGCAGGCAGATCACTTGAGGTCAGGAGCTTGAAGCCATCCTGGCCAACATGGCGAAAGCCCGTCTCTACTAAAAATACAAAAAAAAATTAGCTGGGTGTAGGGGTGCAGGCCTGTAATCCCAGCTATTCAGGAGGCTGTGGCAGGAGAACTGTTCGTACCCAGGAGGCGGAGGTTGCAGTGAGCTGAGATTGCACCACTGCACTCCAACCTAGGTGACAGACTCCATCTCAACAACAACAACAACAACAAAAAGTGTGTTCATTATACTTCATTATACAAACACAGTGTCAAGATAGGCCCCCAAGTGCCCGCTTTCAACTGGATTGTGGCTCCTTGACCCCTTATGTGTGTTAGTTCCTAGATCCCATGCAGTTTTGAGGCCTTGAAGGCCTTCCCTGGCTACTCTCTAATGGAGAAATTTGTACTGTTTGTTACGATGACTCTTTTCAATGCGGGCAGACATAAAACGAATCATGTCCCTGAGATACTACTCTTCCTCTGTCCTGGACATACATCATTTTTTTTTTCTTTTTTGAGATGGAGTTTCCCTCTTGACACCCAGGCTGGAATGCAGTGGCACAGTCTCGGCTCACTGCAACCTCCTCCTCTCCTGGGATCAAGCAATTCTCCTACCTCAGCCTCCCCAGTAGCTGGGATTACAGGCATGCACCACCACGCCCAGCTAATTTTGTATTTTTAGAGTTTCACCATGTTGGCCAGGCTGGTCTTGAACTCCTGACCTCAGGTGATCCACCTACCTCAGCCTCCCAAAGTGCTGGGATTACAGACATGAGCCACAACACCCAGCCCATATCTCTTACTAAAAGGAGAAGAAGTGTGACAAAGGATTGGGAAATGGCTTGAGAGCCTCCCCTGCCGGCAGCAGCAAGAACTAACTAGTGCTCGGCTGTGGCTGAGTAGCAAAAGTCTAGCAACTATGTGTATGTGCATATTCTTGCTTTTGATCCCTCTCTACTAAGGACTTTATGACAAATTAGCCACAGGTATCTCCTGGACAAATTTAGCTAGGTCAGAACAGCTGAGTTGAGCCTGGCGTTTCCTAATTCCAAAAGCCCACTGGAAAGTGTGTGTGTTTTTTCCTTGGTGGTGATATGTGCCCCTTATGGTCCACGATCACGTCCCTTTGCAGTGCCTGGCTTGGTGGTCTCAGTGGCTCTGAGAGCCCTCTCCCCTCCCTCCCCCAATGCCTTAGCAGGGGTGCGATGCAGCTCACCACTGATGTTGAGCAGATGTGTGAAGAAGAAGGACTGTTTGTGAAAGTCCTCTATGGCGAGGACGATGGGTCCGTCGAGGCTGCTCCTCAGGGTCTTCTTGGAGCCGCTTTTGTCTGCAATGAGCGATTCGAGCATGGTCCGCACCATGTACAGCTTGAAGAAGAAAGCAAGATGAGAAGGTCAGAAGCTGGCCCTCCACCCTGGGGAAAAGGTTGCTTCGTGCTGTATTTATTTATTTATTTCTGCAGATACCTGCTCTTAAAAAGCACTGTCTTAAGGAAGCACCAGTTTAGGTCTGAGAAATAAATGCGGAACTGTGAAAACCTTCATGGCCAAACCGGGCCCCGTGGCATTCCTGGGCCAGTGGACCTGGCCACACCAGGTAGCTCCCTGCTCTGCTTGGCCAAGGGTGTGTATATCAGAGGAGAACCTCATTACGTGTCACCCTGGAGTCACTCCCTGCCTTCCCAGAGAGCCACAGATGCCATGGGTGGAGCACTGGACTGGGAGTCAAAAGACCAGGGTTCAAGGCCAGGCACTGCTGCTGATTTGCTGTGTGACCTTAGGCAATAAAGCCCCCACTCTGGGCCTCAGCTGTCTTATGTAACACCAGGGGGTTGGACCAGATGCCTTCTCACACCAGTCCCTTTCAGCACTAACATTCTGAGGAACTGAGAAATGGGATAAGATCAGAATGAGCCCCCTCCCACACCTGTTCCTGACCCTCAGCGTTTTGACCCCACTGCTGAGTGACGGCGCCCCCTTGGTGGCATGAGCTGCATTGCGCGGCCTGCCGAAGTCCGGGGTGGAAAGCGGGTTAACATTGGTACTTACACAGGAGGCTACTAGACAATTAACTCCCGCTTACAGGGTGCCTTAAGTGGGAAGGATGCGAGTGCGGTGGGGTGGTTCTCTTTGCTAATCTAGATCTCTCCACATCATCTGTGTGTGAATCTTAGGGCTGGAAGGGACCTTGAGGAGCCAGGCTAGTCCATTCCTGCTGCCTCCTCCAGAAGGGTACCCAGACCAACCCAGCCAGGCGGTGTGGTACCAGGGATCGGCAGCCTCTTCGGCCCTGTGTGCCACCAGTGGGGTGAAACAAAGCCCTCGGGGACCACTGGCAGGCCTAGGACATAGATAGGAGAGAAGGAAGAGGGGATGGGAGGGCAGGAGAGACAGGGAAGAGGGAGAGAGAGAAAGAGAGAGAGAGAAAAGCAAGAGGTATTGTATACGATGGGAAAGCCGCCGCGACTGCCGGGGGCCGCCTCTGAGACACTCCAACCTCCCAGCAACCGCGTCTGCCTTTGCTGCCTCTGGAGCTTCCCTGGGATCTTCCCCACCACAGGCCTGGCACTGACGCAGGCAGGGTAGCCACAGAAACGTGTGACCCACCATCCCTGCCACGGGGCCTCCTTTGTGGGAAAGCAGCCACGGTGGCCGTCGGTGCCTCAGACAGTCCCCCATCGGCAGCCCTGTTGGGGGGGCCGGTCTCATCATCCCTACGAGCCGAGCAGCACTCTTCTAACGACGGCCTCTCAAGTCCTCAAAGGAAGAATCCACATCTAATCTGCTGTGGGTGCTGTCTGATTTATATCCAACGCTAACTATTTGAAAAGTGGTTCCACCCATATGAGGGTGAACTCTTCTCTCACATACTCAACAGAGCATTTAATTCACCAAAACAGTCTCTATCCCAACTGTGCGAGATGCCCGTGTCTACTGTGTCCTGAAGACCCCAGAGCCCTGGGTGGGTGTCAGGAGACCTGGGTTCTTGTCCCACCTCTGCCTGGGACTCACCTTGTGACTTGGACAAGTCACTTCCCCTCTCTAGACCTCAGTTTCCCCATCCATGAGATAGGGGGAGGGCCTAGCTTTTCTCGAAGAGCTCTCCTAGCTCAGGTGGTCTAGGAGTTTATTCAACATGTCTGTGCCACCTAGCATGACCTGGTGGAGGTCAGGGGTGGGGGGATTCACTGCTGGAGACCCACCCCTCTCACTGTCTACCCAAACACTCCTTCCTCTTCTCTCTGCCTGTTGAGCCCCCTCCTCCTCCTTGCCAGTGTCTTTCGTGCCCTGTCTCCTGCTCACTCATGTCTTAAAACTTACAGAAACACCTGGAAGCCCCACTCAATATCCCCAGGACCTCAGCCCTTGATACTACACGGAACTGTCTGCAGATGCTTCCTTGGGGCATTCTACAACCAGCAGAGGGCTGTGAAGCCAAGGGGAGTTAGGATGACCCTGCCGAGAACCCTCCTCTCCGCTGCCCCAGCCCCCAGCACAGACACAGACACACACACAGGGAGAGGGGTAGGGGCGTGGGCCTCAGATGGTCCATCCTGGGTGATTCACAGCAGAGAGAGGCTTAAAGGTCATGGGAAGTGAGGCCTGTGAGACCCTTAAACCTGCAATGAGAACCATCTACTCTTTTTAGTACCTCGAAACTATTACCAGAAACTACGTATCCTTAAGCAGGTAGCAGGGATTTAACTAAGATACCCAGATTATTGACTTTTTTCCTGTGATGTTATGATTGCTCTGGATAAGCCAGGGTTTGAGGCCAGGGTTCAAGGCCAGGGTTCAAGGCCAGGCACTGTGGCAGATCTGCTTGTGCAGAAGCTCTGGCTGGCAACTCTGTATTTCCAAATACTAGACTTCCTCTAAAGGGACAAGGGCTTTTCCATACTTGGCACTTTTGGAAGGATGTGGAACTAAGGGGTATTTTGTTAGTAACACAATCTCATCCAAAGTTTCCATTTTACAGAGAAGATAATCAGAGCTCAGAGAGGTCAAGGTGCTTGCCCAAGATCACACAGCAAGTCAGAGGCAGAACTTTTGGGGGAAAGGGCCAGGGCTTATTAAAGAGGGACAGGATAGATGCATATAGATTCCATTTTAAACTCCTCCTGCACTTTGGAATGTATACTTCATAGGACTAGAAGATAGCCAGGCTCGGTGGATGTGGTATTATCCCCATTAGCCAGGTTAAACAACTGAGGCACAGAGAGATCTGTAACATGCCCAAGGTCACACAGGTATCTAGGACTAGAATCCAGGTCTCCTGAATCTTAAGCCAGTGGTCCTCCTTTCTATCTCAAAAACAAGATGGCAGAATAAGTAAGACCAGAGCAGCCACTCAACCCTGCCCCTCCTGACCAATGCCTCCCGGCCTCACTGCCCATGGCCAGCCATGATGATCTACCACAGCCCGGCTGGCCTCTGAGTCAACGCAGCTGGCCCGTGCCTGGAGCCACTTACCTGCGTGCTGGACGGCCCCACAGCACGCCGGGGCACCTTGATGTCAAATCCACCTTTGGGGTCCTTCTCCCCTCTCAAGCATGGGTCATTGGGGGGCTCTCGCCCTCCCTCCCAGTCACAGATGGTCTTTCGAATTGCCTGTAGGACACTGGGGAAGGAAGAATGAAGACGCAGACCAGATTTCACCACTGGACAAAGGCACCGCAAGCTTGTGTTTCTAGGGCCCACGGTGTCCCAGGACCACCCGCATTTGAATTCTTGGGGTGCTTGTGAAGATGCTTTTTCTGCCCCCATGCCAAAATTCTGGTTTAACAGATTTAAGGTACACTCCAGAAATCTGTGTTTAAACAAGTATCCCACATGGTTCTGATGTCCAAGGGATGTCTAAGAACTCAGCTCTGAGCCCATCAAGTGAGACAGAACTTGAGTGAGGTAAGATGTCTATTTCATCATCCCAACAGGCAACGGGTAGCATTATAATCCCCATTTTACAAATGAGGAAAACTGAGGTTTGGAGAAGGTCAGTAACTTGACTGAGTTCACACAGCTAGACAGCAGTGGATATGGACTTCAAACCCAGAGATGAAGGCCTAATTTATGCCAAATGCCCAATCTCCTAAAGAGCCCTCTGGAGCTTGCTGGAAGGACCCGTGTGTGTTCAGTGGCTGAGTCAGTACATACTCTCTGATGGGTACCTTGCACGCTTATGTCTGATAGCTCCTAAAGGCCTCTGAAAACCCACCTGATGAGGACGTTCTTCTTCTTCCGTACCGCCTGCCGCAGGGGCTCACGCAGCGTCACCTGGGCGAAGTCCTGCAATGCTGCATAGATGGTGTTCCTGATGGCCTGGTTGAAGACGCTCTCCATCCTGCCCATGAGCACCTGCAGGCCTTTGATCATGGCGATCACCTGGGCAGGTACAGGCCAAGGGTCAGTTTCGCCATGTCCAGCACATCAGCTGTCTACTACCCATCACCACCTTGCCAGGGGAGGCAGGGAGTGAGATGTCATCACCTCGCCAGGGAGGCATGAGGCCAGTGCTACTCAAAGTGCCAGTGCATGGCCAGGTAAGAAACGTGTGCCAGAATGTACATACATCAGCACTCTGCTTCATTCCTTGAGAAAGTCTTGCTATAAAACACCAGCGGTTTCTGGCTGCTTCTAGCAGCTCAACTAACAGCATTCTTTGCAATGCAACTGATTTTCATCCTGACATGAGCTCCCGATGTTGTTGCTGACTGCTGACAAATGGTAGCTGGCCCATGGGCCACATATTGAGCATTTTAAGTAGCGCTCTGGCTTTTGAAGGCCTCTCCATAGACCAGGAATATCCACAGACAATGTCAAATAGAACTTTTTTACTACAAAATTTTCTAAAGAATTCTTACATCTGTTTTTGAAACCATTTGGCCAGTTGCTGCTTGAGTTTACAAAATCAAAATCTCTTCTGCAGAAGTCATGGGGGAGTGTGGGGAACATTCCCGTGTGAGACCCCTAAAAGGCGTGAGTCTCACTATATGGTGAGTTTGATCCCAAACACAGTTTCCTACTGGAGGCAGTCGAGCTATCCGGAAATATAGGAACTGAAAGATGAATGATCAGTTTCTAATATCAACCACAATATCGTTTTGGGCCTAAAACTATGCGTTGCTGCTAGACCAAGTGACCCCCTACCGGCAACCAGTTCCTGCTTTTAACCTTTTTATGACTTTAAGAATAAGCCTTAAACCTTACCTGACTGCCTTGTACCCTAGATAATGGTTTAACTGTCGATATTTGCAAAGCAAAATGCCACCAAAAGGGATGGCTTTGATTTCTGACTCAGAGATTCCTGAATGGGGAAGTTGAGTTAAGTTGAGTCAGGAGTAGACAAAGGAGAATCCAATTAAAAGATATTCTGATGAGCAAAACCAAAAAACCTTTTCACATCTCAGTTCTAAAACAAGGTCAAACCAGAGATACCTGCAGCCAGGAGGAATAATGTTTGGATGTAAACAAGCTTTGTGAATAATGTTTGGATGTAAGCAAGCTTTGTGAATAATGTTTGGATGCAAACAAACTTTGTGATTACAGGAAATTCTGTTACTTTTTACAACCACTGATCGCATATCTGACTTCTCTATTGTATAGGCCATATGAGGCATACATTTGCATTCCTCTTACTATGACTTAAACCAGAGCCAAGAAAGTGTATTTATTCCTGGCCTTTGAAAAATAAAATTTGCTGTTTAGGCACAGCCTATCAGCCCTCCAGACGCCTCGCTCTCTCTCTCTCTGTCTTTATTATTTTTCCAGATGCACTCCCTCTTCCAGGTATTGGGACCCTCTTGCAGGTCGAGAGACCCCTGGGCAGATGTGCCTACCCATCCCGGACGGTCCCCGACAGGGGAGAATGCCTCTGCTCTTCTATTTCCCTTCTCCTTACCCTAACTCACTTACCTGTTTGGAGACACGAGGATTCAGGCATGTGTGATGAGAGGAGCCTGGCCTGTCCTTGGCTCTCTCTTTTAGGACCAGCCTGACTGCGAGCATGTGGCCTCCCTTCTAGGTTTCTGGCCACTTCTTACAGTTACCATCCCCTGCCCATCCTGAGGAAAGGAGGCAAGTATCTATGCAGCTGCTTTGCCTATTACCCAGTGGCAAGTTTAATGAGATGTAGGAGGCATAGGAAGACTGGTGTGAGCTTGGGTGAAAGCCACATTCTCTAGTCCAGCTTTATCAGCAGTAAGTCTGAACCTTTGATTCCACTGGCCTCTGACATTAATTTCTCAATTGATTCAGAAGGCATGTGGCAGATCGTCCACTTCACAACTGCCACACATGTCAGACCCATAATGGCAGGGTTCCACCTTCTACATCAGACTGGAAACACACAGGACAAGGTGCAGCTATGCTGTGCACGCCCAACTGCCAGTGTCTGTGCCCATGGTGGGCAGATGAAGTTTTTGTTGAAAATGAACAAATAAATGAATGAATAAGCTTAGACCCTAAGCCTCTCTCTCTTTTTTTTTAATCTAAAACTTAAAGGAAGAAAAAGAACATTTTTAGATAGAACTGGTATGAAAACAACACAGGAGGTGATGGTTTGCACTGGCACCAAGAGTACAACAATTTTGTTGGCGAGGAGCTTTAGTGCAGAGAAATAATGGGAGAGAAGCATTAGAGGACTGTTAGGTCATAACAGAATCTGGGCTACTGGCTACACATGTAACTAGGAGACACTAGGATAAAGGAAGGAGCAAGTAATAAAGATGTCTCAGAGTAACTCCGAACACAGAGGAGTGGGCAGGCCTGTTGGATCTAACGGAAAATCGTTGCAACTCCAGACAGAGCAAAGAGTTCTTAGCTGAAACCCCAAAATCATAAACCACCAAATAACTGATGAATTGGACTTCATCCAAATTAAAAACAGCTACTCTTCAAAAGGCACCCTTTCAAAAATGAAAAGGCAAATTACTGACGAGAAAAGAATATTGGCGCCACATACTTGACTGAAGACTTGTAATCTAAAATGTGGAATGAATTCTTACAGTTCCATCATAGGAAGACATAAAGCTACTTTTTAAAAAATGGGCAAAAGATCTCAATACTTCATAGAGGAAGATACGTGAATGGGATCCCAGACAGGAAGGAGGTAAAGGGAATTCCCAAGGTAATAACGAGGAGAATCTTGGATCAGCAGCTGGGCTGCTCTAGAGACAAACCCGTGCCAGATGGAAAGAAGATGGCTCCAGGAAAACAGGAACACCAAAACTCATCAAATGCTGACACGGATGGACTGTTTTGTAAGGAGTTGTACAGTTTGTTGGTATGTTGGGGGTTGCCTTTTTGAGGGACTCATAGAAAACAAAACAAAACAAAGCATTGCAAATTCTATGAAGAACAAAAACTTGTACAAGAAAATAAATGTATTCACATTAGATCGTGCGGCTCAGTGATGGATGACAGTTACTTGGTCGTAATAATAATAAGGTAACTACTGATTTTACCAAAAGGTGTAGAATTACCACTATGGAAGACGAGGGAAGGACACTGGGTGTGTTGCGGGGATGGGAGGCAGGAAGGAGAGAGCTATACCTCATTCCCCGAAGTAGAAAATGTCGTAAATTGAAAAACTAAGAAATAGTCTCATAAGCCTGTTAGAACTAGGGAGATAAGTACCACAAGGAATCACTTAACAAGTCGAACGGCATTTCCTATTTGGGGACTCAGAATGGAACGGCATGGTGCAGTTAAGTTACTACTTTTACTTCGTTTTATTATTAAAGGCCACACTGAACTACTTTTCAATTTTTAAACATGTTTTATGAATGCGATAAAAATGATACAACCTCTCAATGTATAGCCAAGCAAGGACCAGAAGGAAATACAGTGACATGCTCTTGATGGCTGTGTCTGGATGACAGCAGGAGGCTGTGGCAAGGCGAAGGGAGGAGTGGGGTTGGGGGAGCACCTTCTAAATCACTTACAGTGCCTGTGCCTCCCTTTTATTAAGGAAATAAGTGCATAAATCGTTTTACAAAGTTGCATTTACCCTCTGACTGTCTCACTTTAAATAGGCTTGAGGATGACTTTGTCTTCTAGTAACGAAGGCTGCAAAACTTTCTTCCAGGTTGCCCATTAGCAATGGAAGTGCCAAGAGGTTCGGGACCACTCAGGACAATGTCAAGTGGGATTATGATTTTTCTCCTTTCTGAAATTATGCCACTGAGCCTCAGTCCTTTAATATGAAGCTTGGAGAGAAGACGCTAACCTCTTACATTTGTATGACCCTTCAACTTCTCAGGGCCCATCTACATTCATTACCTTATTTGACAATTATTGTTTGATTCTCCACAATAACCCTGGGATGGGGCATGGGAGAGATTATTAGCTTCATTTTACAGGTAAGGAATCTGAGGGTCTGAGAGCTGAAGTGACCAGAGGGCCCAGGGGGAGGAACCAGGTCTCTGATTTCTAGATTAGTCTCTTGTAGGTTTCAAATGATCCTCAAAGAAAGAGCTGTCACTCACAATCTAGTATAAAAGAAGTTTCCTCCCAAATAGGAACATCATTTTGTAATCAAGCAAAACACAATACAAAAGGTTATAAATCAGACAGTCCTGTTTCCAGAAATTACTACTGTTCGTGGTTTGGTATACAATATATTTATGTCCTTCAGTTTGGGACAAATATAGAAAGCATATTGTATTTTGGTGTAAGTGGAATCATTCTACATGCTGTTCTGTTTTTGGTCTAAATGTCTATATTTGGATTTTTATTTTGTGTGTTTTGATATATATATTTAGATATATTACATATTTCTTTATGTATTTAAAAATATCTTTTATGTGTATATGCATATTTATTTCTAGATATAGTTTTGCTTCTTCCCTATAAGCATTAAAACTACAGACATGCTGTTCTTTAACTGTTTCTTTTTTAACTTAATGACATACTGAGCACAGCTTTCCATGTCGGTATACCTGTTTTACTTTTATTTATTTATTTTTGGGACAGCCTCAGTCTGTCATCCAGGCTGGAGTGCAATGGCACAATCTTGGCTCACTACTGTAACTTCTACCTCCCAGGTTCAAACAATTCTCCTGCCTCAGCCTCCCGAGTAGCCAGGATTATAGGTGTGCACCTCTATGCCCAGCTAATTTGTTTTTGTATTTTTAGTAGAGATAGGGTTTAACCATGTTGGCCAGGCTGGTCTCAAACTCAGGAGACCACCTCAAGCGACCCACTTGCCTTAGCCTACCAAAGTGCTGGAATTACAGGCGTGAGCCACGTATACCGCTTTTAGAGACTGCATAGTATGCAATGATATAGCTGAATCTTAACTTACATACCTGATTCCATATTGAAGAACATTTGTTTCACATATTTCGGTATTATAAACAACACTGTGATAAATATCCATGTACATGTATCTCTGCAGAGTTGGCTTAATTCCTTGGGATTTATTCCCAGAAGGACTTGGCCAAAGGGTATGCACATTAAAAACGTGAGTACATGTAATCAGATTGCTCTCATAGAAAGCCTATAAAATGTAGACTGACCACTAAAGACACGAGAATGTCTATTTCTCGTACTTTAACCTGCGACATGCATCGCCCATCTGTCAAATCTCCGCTATCCTGATTGGTAAAGACTGCATCCCATCTTATTCCAATCTGTGGCTCTCTGACCGCCAACCAATTTGGGCATTTTTCATACCTCTTTTAGCCATTTGTTTTCCTTCTGTTTCTTCTGCTGGCTTCTTGGTGCCCATTTTTTTAGAGGAGTGGACATTTTTCTTCCAGGTTTTAAGAACAGAATGAGTTTCTAATCCATTCCGAGTAACAGAATAACTTCTGACAGATTTAGATGGGAGGGCAGGGAAGAGCATGGAGATTCGGGTGACCAATGCTGTTTTCTTGCTCAGAACTACTCTGAAACCACCACAGGCTGCAGTCTCAGGGAGGGAGGGAGATGCAGGAAGTCTGCACCTACCTCAACAAAGGCAAACTTTTCCTCACTGGTGTAATTGTAGCGTGTGGCTCTCTCGTATTCCTCTGCGGTGCCAGGGCAGTCCTTATTGCAGAACTTGTCTGTGGGGTGAACCAGCTTCCAAGAGTACTGGGGAGAGTGGGAACAAAGCAAATGTCCATCAACTGATGCATGGACAAACAGAATGCGGTGGATCCACGCAATGGAATATTATTCAGCTGGAAAAAAGGAATAAAGTACTGATTCATGCTACAACATGGAAACACCTTGAAAACATGCAAAATGGAAGAAGCCTGATACAGAAGACCATGTATCATATAATTCTATTTATATGAAACATCCAGAATAGGGAAACCTACAGAGGTAGAAAGCAGATTGCTTAGGGCTAGGGAGATGAGAGGGGAGATAACACAGGGCTTCTTTTTGAAGTGATGAAAATGTTCTATATTTGACCGTGGCTATACAATTCTGTGGCTATACTAAAAACCAATGAACCTACACTTTAAATGGGTAAATGGTATTGCATGTGAATTTTAACTCCATAAATCTGTTTAAAAGAGAGTGCTAGGGAGAGATGAAGGCAGATTCCAAGGAAAGGGAGGTCAGTGTGAGGCCCTCTGCCCTGGGACACCTACCACCTCCATGACGTGGGCACTCCACTTGGATAGAAGCTGCAGACCCCGCAGGGCCAGGTCGAAGAGCTCACGATACTCCTCGTCTGACTTCTGGCTGTCCAGCCCTGAGCCCGTCACCACCTGGGGAGCATCAAGTGTCATACTCACCATCTCTGCACCTGACACTTTTATATGTTATCTCATTAATTCCAAGAACACTGCAGGGAAGGGCTATTATTACATCTCCTTGACAGATAAAGTGAAGCTCAGACAAGTGCCTTGCTGAAGGTCACGTGGTTTATAAATCACTGAAGGCTTGGGTTCAGGCGGTGATGCCACAGCCCTACTCATAATCACCCTGGAGTATCACAGGATGGCACCTTTCAAACTCTTGATTGCACTCACAGTAGGAAGTGCACACTGTGTAGAAACTCAGAACATACACCTACATAGAGCTACCAAATATATGTATGCAACAATATGTTTTTCTTTTTTTTTTTTCTTATAGAGACAGGGTCTCACTGTGTTGCCCAGGCTGGTTTCCTGAGCTCAAGCAATCCTCCTGCCTCAACGATATGTTTTACAAAGCAGTTTTACTCTTAATATATAGGATTCCTTCTGATTTTCTATTTTATATTTATATAAAAATGCTAATGACAAACCACTAATTTGATTTCACAACTCATTAGACATGGCTCACTGATTGAAAGGCAATGGATAAACATCTGTATATCCCACAATGACAGAATATGTGTGTATGCACACACATACTGTGTGTGTATATATACACACACACACACACACACACACACACACATACACAGCCAGTCCTCATTACTGGTGGATTCTGTATTTATGAATTCCCTTACTGGCTAAATTCATGATGATTTCTCAGTCGTTTGCAGACATGTGCCCACTCCCAGCTGAAGTTGGACAAAGCGACTCTGCCTTCTTGTTTCAGCTCTCACACAGTAAACAACTATCTTTTTTGAAGTGTATTTAGTGCCATGTTTCCTCTATTTTTGCGCTTTTTACCTGCAATTGCTCAATTTAAAATGCCCTCCCCCTACCCCAAGCTTAGGGCTAATATGCTATGTAGTGTTCCTCTGTGCAAGAAAGCTGTAATGTCTTATGCAAAAAAAATATATCTTCTAGATAAGCTTCGTTCAGGCATAAGTTACAGTGCTATTGGTCATGAGTTCATGAATCAACAATAGAGATCACATAAAATGTCTTAAACAAAAGTGCTTATAAAACAAGGTTAGATATTGACCAGTTGATGAAAATGTGACCAGAGGCTCACAGGGCTATAACTGAGATTTCTTCTTGGAGCAATGATTCAGTATTTGCTAATTCAGAGTTCATGGCCACTTTATAGAAGTACTGTGAAGAATGAGAATTGACATGTATGGAGCATATGATTTTAAAAAATATCTTTGACCAGATTCATTCTTAGACCACACCAAAATCTGAGTAGAATTAAGAGCTCTGGCTGGGCGCAGTGGCTCATGCCTGTAATCCCAGCACTTGGAGAGGCTGAGGCAGGAGAATCACTTGAGTCCAGAGTTCAGGACCAGCCTGGGCAATTTGAGACCCTGTCTCTATTTTTATAAAAGAAATAAAATATTAAAAAAATTTTTTAAAGAGTTCTAGCACTCAAAAGAAGTTATTCCTGTAACTTCAGTTCAACTGATTGGTACCTATGTTTAGAAAGCTAAGGTCTGGGCTTGACCTTGGTCCCCTGGGCCACAAATCTGATGGCCACAAGTCCTTGCATTTGTCAGACTGACCCCACTTCAGATACATTGCTCTGTGATCAAAGGCATCTCCTGGGCTGGGGTTTGGAAAGTGTAGTCATCATGGCTGCCGGCCACATGGTGGAAGCAGTGAGCACACATGGGTCAGTGCACACTCACCCACAAGTGCTACGTAATAAAGGAATCTGCGTCAGGGACCAGTGTGTATCAAACAGCATATTCATTTATTAGAAAGGTGTGTATGGAATGAGAACCAGAAGGATATCTAGTCTTAGTTGGTTCTGGGATGGTAGGATTTTATGTGATTTTTCTCTCCTTCGGCTTATCTGTGTTTTTTCCTGAGGTTTGAGCACCGATCAAGTCTCCATTGGAAAAAAAAAAGTTTAGAAAAAATGAAATGAAATGTAATTATTGGGATTAGTGGAGATTTTTATGGCCTTCATCTGCCCCTAAGTATATTACAGATCTTTGTTACAATGATCATTTATTACTGTGTAGTTTAAAAATATTTAGGTAACGTTATGAGTACAAGTGTTCTGTCTGCTTGCCATCCAGGGTGGAGGTGATTGGCATCATTTATCACGTACAGGCAGAACTAACCATCACCAGGCTTTTATTGTCTTCCATATCTTTTAATCCTCTCAATGAACCTTACAGGATAGATACTGTTGTCACCCTGATTTCACAGATAAGGAAACTGAAGCAAAGAGATCCTGAATAATTTTCAAAGAGCAGCGGCACCACCAGAATTCGCCCGTCTGCCTGGCTCTAAAACCCATGCTCTTGGCCACTTTACCCTCTTGCCTCCCTCCTACTCTCCCGTGGGTCTATGTTCTTTCCTGGCTGCTCCTTACCCCATCTGGCCCTGGGCCCATGGGCCTGCATCCCAGCACCCTACATGCTCACCTCACTGTTGCTGTAGCGAGCGAGCTCGGAGATGAAGCGGATGTGGTCATCCCGGATCTGAACCATCTGCTCGCAGATATTGTACTGGGGGCTGATGCTGCTCTGGGTACACGTCCACCTGGGTAGAAAATTATGGGGTCGGAGAGGGTCCCAGTCTCAGGCACCTGGGTGGGACAGGTATTAGCTGCTCCTGGTGCTCAGTCCATGTGGCCAAATACCGAGGGTGACACCACATGGTATCCCAGCAGCCTCAGCAAGAGAGCCTGCTAAGTCTAACACTGCGGAAGCTTCAGGCCTAGTGGGACAGTCCTTCCTCCTCTTCCTTGGGGCTGGCCTCGTCTAGGACCCAATTGCAGCCCTTCCAGACACCTGGTCCACAATACTTACCGGTAACATGAGAGGAGAGGGATCACCGCTGCTCTAGGGCTACAAAGGGCTGGATCCGAGCACGGAAAAAGCAAGGTGGGCAGCCTCCAAAACCAGCTACCTGCTCTGACAGCACAGACACTCTGGGGCTGAAGCTGGCTTTGGGGGGCCTTTGGGCTGGGACTGCAGAAATCTTAGTGTGTCTATGCCTCTTTTCCAACAGTCCCCTGGCAACACAGAAGCACGCTGGTGGTGAGGGAAGCCAGGGTCACTCTGAGACTTGGGGGTGGCCCCTCCCTCCACCCGCCCTCTCTACCTCTCGCCCCCTTCTCTCCTCTCTCCACCCTCTTTCCTCCTTCCCTCTGCCTCTTTGCCACTCCTTGCGAAGAGATGTCATTAGGAAAACCATCCTAAGTCAGAGAGGAAATGACTGAATGAACATCTTCACTCTCCATCCCCAAGAGAAAAACGACCACTCCCTTCACCCTCTTCTACCCTCAGGTGCTGGTGACCCAGCAGACAGACTAAGCATGAGCACCAGACAAGGCAGAAAAAGATGCTGGGGAGAATTTACTCTTCCAGAAGGGGCCCTGATATGGTTCTCACAAGAATGGCAGAACAGTGACAGCCTTCCTCAGGCTTCCCTTCAGTATTACTCAGAGAGCTATCCACGGAGAGGGGAGCACATGGCCCCTCACACCCTGCCCTGGTCACTCCCCCAGCCTCTGCTCCCAGCCAGCTTCAGCTGGTAGAGAAGTCATGTGGGGAAAAGTGAGGAATGAGCTCAGTATTCTCCATTCCCTGCGTTTCCTGCAAAACCCCCTCACACGTTAGCAGCCAGAGGGTGATGAAAAGACTACATTAGCTTTCCTTTGGGACACTCAGTTGCAGGGGCTCCAGGTGGATGCGGTTCAAGGACACTCTGTCCATGTTTTTTTAAGATGCTAAGACACTCGCCCTTGAGTAAAGGATGGCTGGTTCCCCTCTGTGTGGAAAAGCCACAACTTTGGGCAAGATGCACACAGAAGGACCCTCCTTCACAGCCTCAGAGACCAAAGGGGCAGCCGAGGTTGGAGCCCCAACTTCAGTGAGGCACTGACACCCCAGGCATTTGCATCGATGACCTAGCATCATGGTTTATAAAGCGACCGAAGGTGAAGCTGCCCGCCCACTTCACATCCACTCCGCAAAGTACTGAGCGCACGGTCACCTAACCTGAGAGGATCGGCGTGAGAAGGAAAAAACGCCACCTCTCCACACTGGACCACTGAGGACTGGCCACTCCTCCAGGGAAGGAGGTGGACTCCTGCCGTCCTGCTGGGCTGGACAAGGGGCATGGCTATGCTCTGAGCCCTTTTGAACCTGGCAGCAAAGGGCGGATACAAAAGGGCTCCGAGCACCCTCGTGGCTCCCCTCCGGCCGGCACCTGTGTTCTGATAGAATCCACCTGCCCAGGGCTCTGGGGAGGGAGGAGGGGCTGAAGTGGCCCCTCGGCTCCCTGCCCGGGCTGGGCATCCTCGCGGGAGCCGAGAGACATTACGGCAGGCACTCACTTGGACTTGTTCTCTTCATAGTGAGCACTGGTCTTAATGTATCTGGCCAGCTCTATCTGCATGTCGCCGAAAAGGGGCACCACCTGCAGCTGCTGCAAAGGAAGCAAACACAGCTTGTGAGATGCCAAGGAAGGGCTGGGGCGGCTGCCTTTGCTGCCACCCCACTGGGGGAGGCAGGCCTGTGTGTGTGCCTGGGGGATGACCTCTAGTTTCTGCTTCCAAGGATGCTACCAGCTGACTCTGAAAACCAAAGGAGCCCCAGCCAGGGTGCAGATCCTCCCGACTCCAACCAACTCTGTGTTCCAAGCAACAGAGCCTAGAAAGGGAAAGTAACTTGTCCAAGGTCACTCAGACAACGGCATGGGTGAGGCCGAGGACTGGACAGCTGCCCAGAGCAGGGTCCTTCCCGCTTGAATCTTCCCCAGCTTAAAACATCCTTGCTGCTATGAATTCTGGGCTAGAAGCAGGTGTCTGAGTGCTGTTGGTCTTCCAGAGAAAGTCTGTACTTTCAAGGTAATTAAAACCATAATCATACCTAACACCAGAGGGCAGACAACTCCTAACCAAAAACCAGGGCAAATGGCGGGGAGGCTGGTGTTTCCTGTGTGCGTCACCTGCACTAGGGACTACACCAACCACTTTAAAAACAGTATCTCAAGCCATACAATAGCCTGTGAAGTCTGTACTATTATTATTCCCATTTCAGAGAAAGAAGAAACTGAAGCTTAAACAGCCTAAGTGATTTTTCACGAAGACCAGGTAGAAGTCAAGAAGCCAGGATTATATAACCCAGGGCTCTGAGTCATCGATGTAACCCCAAACCCCACTGAATCCTCCAGGGAACCCTACAGAGCTCATACCCTTGGTATTCATATTTTTCAGACTTGGAACTCAGTTTCAGGGTGATTTCGTGACTTTCTCAAAGTCATCTAGCTATTAAGTGGCAGAGCCAGACTTGAACCCAGACCTGCCAAGGGAGAGGTTGTATTCTCTTCTACCGTCATCTCATTCATGCTGACTTAGGGAAGATTTTCCAAGGGTCTCCCCAAATGAGCCCTATTTTCATTTGGGACAACTCTAGATAATAGTTCCACCCTTGAAAACAAGTAAAGCCACAGCACAAAACATAAGTGACAGGTTCCTTCTCCTTAACCTTGAAGAGTCAGTGGGACTCAGGCCCAATCCAGTGACCTCCACATCACACGACTAAGGAGTTTTGCTGTGAATATTAATCTGGGCTCTCCCACGTCTGACCCCTCAGGCTTCCTCCATGCCTGCAGTGCCCAAAGCTAGAATAAATTGAGAACATGGAAGTTAATTCCAAAGTGCAAGATTCCCTGGCAAAATCCTAAGAAGCTTAGTTTAACTGCAAATTTTTTAAGATCTGGGGCCAAAAGATTAACTCTCAGAGACACTGAAATAGAGTGTATGATGGACATTGCTGAGGCATTCTATCCAAAGGAAAGGGCAAACTGAGGTGGCCCCTGGTGTACCAGGTGAGAGGCTGTCATTTTGCATATGTGAATCAATTTAAAATCCAGTCTTTAACCATTCTGCATCTGTGAGCTCTGATTTATACTGGAAATTAAAGCAGGAGCTGTCTTCTGGGATGCACCTCTTAAGTGACAAGGGACTTCAGAGGAAACAACAACAACGCAGCATTCAAAAAGACTCACAGGGCCTCCTCCTACCCAAATCCCAGCTGAATCCTGAAACCTGGAACTATGCACGGCTTTCAGGCAGCGTCCTTCTAGAGAGCAAATGCCTCTCTCAACGGCAGCCAGAGGCCCTGCTGTTCCATCTTCCTCCTCTTCCTACTCTTGGGAGCTTTGGAGCTACAGCTCAATTTTAAAAACAAATCCATGGTTTTCTGGCTAATTTCATTCCTTTCTGCCAAAAACATCTTGGCTCTGGTAACCTCAGCCCTCTGCCCAGCCCCAGCCCCAGTTGCTGACCTTAAAGAACTTATCAATTTTGCTAAGATTAATTCTCTTCTTGGCATCCAGTTTGTAAATGTTACTGACATTTCCATCCATCAGGTACAGGCCAAAGCCCATCACCTAGAATGAGAAGGGGGCAGAGCACAGAAACTAATCACATCCACTGGAAAAGCTTTTTTTTTTTTTTTTTTTTTTTTTTAAAGGTAGGTCTGTCTATGTGACATACACACACACACCCTGTAGAGACACACTATATTATAAAAACCTATGCATCTTCAAACAAAGGCAGGAAATATAAGTCTAATTTCAACGAGACACTTAGTCTATTACTATGGCAGCTACTTCTTCAGCCCTTACTATAGGCCAGAGTCTGTGCTCAGAGCTTTAATAAGCATTAATCTCTCTTGAGTCAAGTTCTCTGCAATAACTTTATTCTATAGATGAGGAATCAGAGGCACAGGGAGGTTAGACAGCTCGCCACGGCCACATAGCTAAGGAGCGGAGAAAGGAGCTGAACCGGATCTGTTGACAATATTTCTGCCTTTAGATCTTTCTGAGAGAAAGGGCTGCTCCTAGCTCCTTGCTGTATCCCAGGGTGTGGCACAACACAGGCATCTGATGAGTACTTGAACAGTGAGTGAATGTCAAAGTATCCACCTCTTTCTCCACAGAAAGGACAACGTAAAGGTTTCCAAGGAGCTGCTGGTGACTTTTTTTTTTTATTATTATACTTTAAGTTCTGGGGTACATGTGCAGAAATGGCAGGATTGTTGTATAGGTACACACATGCCATGGTGGTTTGCTGCCTCCATCCCCACTTCACCTACATCAGGCATTTCTCCCAATGTTATCCCTCCCCAATCTCCCCACCCCCACTATCACTTCCCTAGCCCCACACCCCCCAACAGACCTCAGTGTGTGATGCTCCCCTCCCTGTGTCCATGTGTTCTCATTGTTCAGCACCAGCCTACGAGTGAGAATATGTGGTGCTTGGTTTTCTGTTCTTGTGTCAGTTTGCTGAGAATGATGGTTTCCATATTCATTCATGTCCCTGCAAAGGACATGAACTCATCCTTTTTATGGCTGCATACTATTCCATAGTGTATATGTGCCACATTCTCTTTATCCAGTCTATCATTGATGGGCATTTGGGTTGGTTCCAGGTCTTTAACAGTGCTGCAATGAATGTATGTGTACATATGTCTTTATAATAGAATAATCTCTTCCTGAATTTGCCCTCTGAGTGAGTTGACATTCTTGATTTCAATCCTTTTAACAGTCTCCTGAATGCTGGCTTATTTTGTTCCTTTTAAAATGTATGCAGAAGGGGGCCTGAACAGCTGTGTGACCACAAGAAAGTCACTTCTCTCTGTGCCTCTATTTCTCATCTGACATGAAGAGGGTGGACCAGGGGACTGTTAAGGTCACTTCCCCTGTGGGAAGCATTTCCTTTTTCTTTTTCTTTGAGATGTTCTTGCTCTGTTCCCCCGCCACCCTACCTGGGCTGGAGTGCAGTGGCATGATCACCGCTCACTGCAGCCTCAACCTCCTGGGCTCAAGCAGTTCTCTCACCTCAGCCTCCTGAGGAAGTGTGACTACAGGTGCATGCCACGACCCCTGGCTAATTTTTGTATCTGTCTGTAAAGATGGCATCTCACTGGGTTGCCCAGGTTGATCTCGAATTCCTAGGCTCAAGTGATCCTCCTGCCTTGGCCTCCCAAAGCACTAGGATGACAGGTGTGAGCCACTCTGTGGGTGTACTTTGTTCTGCATGATGAACTTCACCCTTTTCTGCATAAGAGCAGACGGTGCCCATGGTGGCATCTGAGTTCTCTGACACAAACTACCCATGTGGCAAAACTATGTGAGGGGTGGTTGAAGAGGGTGAGGAACAGAGAGGGAGGAAGGCAGGGAAGTCCGGGTGTGGAGGGCTGGAGAATTTGAAGGCTGCGTGAAGACTACTTGGTGGGCTGGAATGTCGTGATTTAGCTTGTAGAAAGTTACAGCAACCGCCCAGGCTGAGTACCAGGGGTGAGAGGGGTGTGTGAACTGTGAGTGGCTTCTCTAGATTTCTGATGGTCTGGAGGAAGCCAGGGTAACAAGTCTCAAAGCCACCCAACCCTGCAAACTTAACTGAGGTGCTAAGACATGTAAGACAGGAGCACCAACACAGGGCTGGGATTCTCAGAACCGCAGGAGAGACACTGAAGGAGGAAAAAAAGGAAAAACCACCAGAATGCTGAAAGGTGAGAATCTGGGACAGAATCAAAAGGAGCTCTGCAGCATGTAGAAAGAATGGGAGAAGGCAACCGGGCGCAGTGGCTCATGCCTGTAATCCTAGCACTTTGGGAGGCCGAGGTGGGTGGATCACAAGACCAGGAGTTCAAGACCAGCCTGACCAACATGGTGAAACCCCGTCTCTACTAAAAATATAAAAATTAGCTGCGCGTGGTGGCGTGTGCCTATAATCCCAGCTACTCGGGAGGCTGAGGCAGGAGAATCGCTTGAATCAGGGAGTCGGAGGTTGCAGTGAGCAGAGATTACAACACTGCACTCCAGCCTGGCGACAGAGTGAGACTCCATCTCCAAAAAAAGAAAAAAAAAGAATGGGAGAAGGCTGTTCATGTCAGTGCTACAGCAGCTATGGCGTGTAAGTTAGAGATAACCTAAGCTAACAATGGAATAACAGCTAAGGAAGGCTCATCGAAATCACATTATTTCACAGCAGCATAACAGCCAAATAAATTTAGTCACTTGAGATAAAATGGATACATGGTCATACAGACTGCAAATTTTCAAAATATATAAGCAGAGGAAAAAACTTAAGACATACATAAAAATGCTGAAAGTAAGCCAGGTGCAGTGGTTCATTCATATAATCCCAGCACTTTTGGAGGCTGAGGTGGACACATTGCTTGAGCCCAGGAGTTCAAGACCAGCCTGGTCAACATAGGAAGACCCTGATTCTACAGAAAATAAAAAATAAAATAAAATAAATAGCTGAGTGTGGTTGTATGTGCCAGTAGTCCCAGCTACTTGGGAAGCTGAGGTGAGAGGATCACTTGAGCCTGGGAGCTAGGCAGCCTATTTCATGCAGTGAGTCATGACTGTGCCACTGCACTCCAGCCTGGGAGACAGAAGAAGACACTGCCTTGGAAAAGAAAATGATAAAAGTGTTATCTTTTGGTTAAAGGACTGTGAGAGGCCGGGCGCGGTGGCTCAAGCCTGTAATCCCAGCACTTTGGGAGGCCGAGGCAGGTGGATCACAAGGTCAAGAGATCGAGACCATCCTGGTCAACATGGTGAAACCCCGTCTCCACCAAAAATACAAAAAATGAGCTGGGCATGGTAGCGCGTGCCTGTAATCCCAGCTACTCAGGAGGCTGAGGCAGGAGAATTGCCTGAACCCAGGAGGCGGAGGTTGCGGTGAGCCGAGATCGTGCCATTGCACTCCAGCCTGGGTAACAAGAGCGAAACTCCCTCTCATAAAAAAAAAAAAAAAAAAAAAAAAAAAAAAGGACTGTGAGAGATTTAAACTTTTTTATGCTTTGCTGTATATTCCAGATTTTCCAAAACAATAAATATGACAATTTTGGAATGAAACCTGTAAACTGATGAAACAATTGATCATTTTGGCAAAATACAGCAAAAGCTCGAAGATCTACTTTGTTTTCCAGTGTGGATATTCCTTAAAGAACTAAAAGGAGAATGACCATTGGATCCAGCAATCCTACTGCTGGGCGTCTAGCCAGAGGAAAAGAAGTTATATGAAAAACATACTTGCACACATGTTTATAGCAGCACAATTAGCAATTGCAAAAATATGGAACCAACCTCAATGCCCATCAACCAACAAGTGGGTAAAGAAAATGTGGCATATATACATCGTGAAATATTACTCAGTCACAGAAAGGAACAAACTAATGGCATTCACAGCAACCTAGATGGAGTTAGAGGCCATTATTCTAAGTGAAGTAACTCAGAAATGAAAAATCAAATATTGTATGTTCTCACTTATAAGCAGGAGCTAAGCTACGAGGATGCACAGGCATAAGAATGATATTAATACGCTGGGCACAGTGGCTTATGTCTGTAATCCCAGCACTTTGGGAGGCTAAGGCAGGTGAGTCACTTGAGGTCGGGAGTTGGAGAGCAGCCTGACCAACATGGAGAAATCCTGTCTCTGCTAAAGATACAAAAAAATTAGCTGGGCATGGTGGCACATGCCTGTGGTCCCAGCTGCTCAGGAGGATGAGGCAGGAGAATTGCTAGAACCCAGGAGGCAGAGGCTGTGTTGAACTGAGATCACACCAATGCACTCCAGCCTGGGCAACAAGAGTAAAATTCTGTCTCAAACAAAAAAACAAAAAAAAAAAAAAAAAAGGGAAAAAAAAGAATGATATAATGAACTTTGGAGACTTGAGAAAAAGGCAGGGAGGTGTGGGTGAGGGACTCCACTTTGGGAACAATGTACGCTGCTGGGTGACGGGTGCACGAAAATCTCAGAAATTCCCAGTAAAATCCACGCAACAAAAACCCACCTGGTTTCCCTCAAACTATTGAAATTTAAGAGAAAACTATTGATTCTGTTTTTCCCTTTGAGCCAGCAATTTCTCTTCTAGGAAGTCTGGCTTGACAAAAAGATGTGCACAGGGACTGTGCTACAGGGGTGTTCAGTGAGTTTAGCAAAGAAATATCCAACCACAGGGGATTTGTTATGACAATGTCCCAGTACAATGGAACGTCTGGTAGTCATTAAACATCACACCGTAGAAATGTCCTTAATGACATCTGGAAAGGTGACTATGGTACTACAGAAAAGGAACAGGTTACAAACCATTATGTGCAGTAAGATCTGTATCAATGTTTAAGAAAAAAGAAACACTGTTTTTTAAAAAGGGTTTTTAATAAGAAGAAGGTGAGAGGGTAAGCTCAGGTCCCGTGGGTGTGGCCTCAGGGAGTTTTACCTTGAGGAGCATGTGTTTCTCACTGGGCGTCAGGTACATCTTGTTCTCGTAGTAATCCACGCAGATGTTGACGATGTCAGCCAGCAGCTCCTCATAGCCTGGGATCACTTCCAGTTGCTGGTGGAGACACTGAACAGCAGCGCCACCCTCAGGTTAGGCAGTGCATGTATCCTGCGCCCTCACCCGAACCCCTGCAGAAGGTCCAGAGCTGGCGGGTGTGGCCCCCACTGATGACCCGGAAGCATGGCTCCAGGGAGGGGAGCCTGCATGCCAGCCGGCACCTGACGCCTGAATCCTCTCCTCGATGCCCCCACAGTACTCCTGCACACCTCCCATGGCAGGGAACTCACTCCCTTATTTTATTCCCGGGCAGTTTTGATGGTTAGAAAATTCTTTCCTGTCCTGAGCTAAAAAGCAGCTCAGTTTTATAGCAACAGGCTTCTTGTAATTTCAGCTCAGCTTGGAGGATGTGGGCTTATCTAGGATGTCTTCTTAGACAATGGCAGCAAAAACCTATTCAAGGGAGGAGAGCTGGCAGTGGGGTAGGGGGCAGATGTCTCCCTCCTGGCAGGACACAGCAGTACAGGACCATCTACTAGAGAAGGGTCTGAGGTCTCCACCCCAGGCCCTTTCTCTCCAAAGAGACCAACTTGGCCTTGCATGGTACGCAGAGGAGGGCACTGCTGGTAGTTCCCACAGATAAGAGAAGGGAAACCTGAGGCCTCGGTTGCTGGGCAGCTTTCTGCAGTTAACAAAGAATGGCAAGGGCCCGGTCAATCCCAGCGCCTTAGTGATATGGACTTGAGCCTGAATACGCTTGGAAGATGGAGGATGCCCTCAGTGTGGGCCTGATATCATTTCTTTCTCGCAACAGTCCTATGAGATGGCTTCTCATAATATTCTCAAAATAACAGATCCATTTTACAGATGAGGAAACTGAGGCTTAGATTGAGCCCCAAGTCTTACAGTGGGTCAGTGGTGGTCCAGGATTAGAAAACAAGGCTGCCTAAATCTAGACCCCATGTTCTCAACCCTGATGCAGGGTCAGAGCACTGGCTGAGAGGGCTTCACGAGAATGACAACTGGGGAGGGTGAATGGGCCACCTGGGGTTGGGAGGGGAGGCTGAAGTCCTCAGCTGCATTTCACTCTCATGTAGGGCAGTGGAGACAGAAGCTGCAGACTGAGCTTTTCTGCTTGGGCATGTGGTCCACCCAACCTCTACACGCCTGCCTGTATCACCGAGACACCAGGCCAGGACCAACAGGGACTCTGCCCTCACCTGGGTGATCCTGTTGTGGTTGGCCAGGAACATGGAAAGGTTCTGTGACTCCTGGATGGACTGGGGATCTGCCATCTTCCTCAGGAACTGTGCCGCCCTGAAACACAGACAGCGGGTGCTGCAGAGAGGACTGTCCAGGCACAGTGGCCTGAACCATGCCTCACAGGCTCCCACGTCCAGCTCACCCAGAGTGACACCATCCTGGAAGTTAATGAGCTCTGAATATCCCAGGCAACGCTCATGTGGAAACAGAGTGTATTCTGAAGTCATTTGCTTTAGGGCCATCTACAGCCTGTAATAAGGGTCCCTGAAATTAAAAGGCAGGAATGTACTAAAAACCTCTGAAATCTCAGAAAGTTTAAGGGGAACTAGCATCCCATCAACCAGCCGGAGTGCTAAAACAGGGAGTGAAATGATCAACCTTGTACCTTCCTGTGACCTCTAGTGAGGCTGCATGGTAAGTTATGAAGAAGCACAGGTAGGATGTTAGAATGCCCCTGCTGTGTATTCTGTTATTTATAGGAAAACTTCAATGTTTCCAAAGCAAAGCACTGTATGGAAAACGGAAGTCTACTGAGCCTCGCAGAACTTCGGGTGAAGGGACGACGGGCACCAGGAACACAAGCAGAGCTTGACGGGAGAAAGCTGCAGCTGCCTGACTTTCCAGCCTAACCTGGGGATGGTGCCACCTGTGCCATCGTGAACTGTGAAAGCAGACAAGACACCCCACCTTGCTCATGACCTAGCTGGGCTTTAGAGGATGTCATTTGTGGCCATGACACAGCTGGCCACAGCTGGGGAGAATTTGGTAGAATATACTATGCAATAAGCTACATGTAAAAACTTTGTGAAGTCGTCACTTCTAAGTCAGCCTTGAGACAGGGTCCTGTCTGCTGGACACCACCAGATTTCACAGTTGACTCAGGAGGGTAAACTTGTGAGAATCAGTCTGTTTTCTCTGGTTACTCTGTAGTCCAGAAAGATGTCATTCAAGGAGGAGGGTCTCTGCTTAGCAGAGACACAGCAAATCCTTCAGAGAGACTTCCGGGCGGCTGCATACTGGTTTGTGGAATGACTCCTTCCCCACTTTCAGTCCTACTCTTTTTTTGTTCTAATTTTTAAAAAGAGGCCGGGTGCAGTGGCTCACACTTGTAATCCCAGCACTTTGGGAGGCTGAGGTGGGCAGATAACCTGAGGTCAGGAGTTTGAGACCAGCCTGACCAACATGGAGAAACCCTGCCTCTACTAAAAATGCAAAACTAGCTGGGCGTGGTGGCAGGTGCCTGTAATCCCAGCTACTTGGGAGGCTGTGGCAGGAGAATCACTTGAACTCAGGGAGGCTGCAGTGAGCCAAGATTGTGCCATTGCACTCCAGCCTGGGCAACAAGAGTGAAACTCCATCTTAAAAAAAAAGAGAAGGGGGGGCGGTCTCACTGTGTTTCCCAGGCTGGTCTGGAACTCTTAGGCTTAAGTGACCTGCCTGCTGTGGCCTTCTAAGTGCTAGAATTACAGGTGTGAGGCACCTCTCCTGGCTAATCTTATTCTTAGGAGCTGGCAGAGACCCTGGGCTCCAAAGGCGAGTAACTATCCCATCAAGGTATCCCCACCACATCTCCACAGTGACTGAGGGAGGGTTTAGCACATGACTCAAGCTGGATCAAAGGCAATCCTCCCTGGGAATTCCAAGAAAGTATTTGGAAAGAGAAGCACCCTGCCCTTCTTTAGAAGCTGGGGTCACTGCACTAGCTGGAGGAAAGCTGCTGGAAGCCACTACAGACCTGAGAATGCAGCCAATGTAGAGGAGGTGGAGCTGAGAGCTGGAGAGACCCAGGCTAACATGGTCATCTGAGTGCCTGTGTGCAGACATGCCTGGACTTTCTGTGAGCCAATTCATTTCCTTCTTTTATATAAGCTGCTTGAATTGGCTTTCTCATTCTTACAGAAAATAACTAATGTAACAATTTTGTGATGATCTTACTGGCCCCATATTGCATGGGGCAACATAAAACACTGCTGCTCCACAGACGTGGGAATTGAGGATTTGATTCTATCTTGTGACATAAAACTCTGCAAAGATCAAGTTGCTCCAAAGCCCAGCTCTATGCCCTGTTCCTCAAACCGCACTGAATCAGACTGAGTTCTCCTGTGTCTGGGAGATGGCTAGTTTGGTACTAAAGAAATAGCAAGTGAGAGGGACTCCATCCTCTTCCTCCACTTGGTGGGTGGCCCTGGAGGAGGGGCCCAACTGGGGCAAGGGAAAGAGGGATGTTGCCCTGACCTCTTGTAGGCAGAGTGGTCGTTCTTGACGCTGCACTTCATGTTCTTCAGCTCATCCAGGACAGCGAACATATTGATGAACTTGCCCAGAGTCAGGAGGTAGGCTTCAGAGACAAAGTCCTTCCTGCGCTCGGCATGGCACAGACGCTTCACCTCGCTGCAGAACCGCTCGATGGCCTTGCGCTGGGGGCAGAGGGACAGTGAGTAAGGTCTCCTGGGGAGGCTCACTGGGCTCTCTTGCAGGGGCAGGGTCCAGGGTCCTCTAGGGCCCTCCTCAGAGCCAGCCCTTTGGAGAAAGGCAAATCTGCCAGGCAGTTTTTCTCAGAGGAGTCCTTAAATCCAAAGCTGATCTCTAGCAGGGAGGCTGGCACCTGCCCCCATGTGAGTCAAACCAATGAATTCATTCAACATACACTGGCTGAGCATTATGTCTTACTCATTATGGAATTCCCAGCACTTAGGACAGTGTCAGGTACCAGTTGATAAGGAGGTAGACCAAGAGTGAGAGATAGATGCAGAGAGAAAAAGAGGTTCATTCATCCAGTAGCTATTTAATGAGCATCTACTATGTGCCAGGCACCATTCTAGGTCCTTGGGTAGAACAGGAAACAAAAGAGAAAAACAGGCAAGCAAGGAAATTCTGCCTTCTGCCTTCAGGAGCTTACAGTCTAGTTTTGTTTTGTTTTGGACGGAGTTTTGTTCTACTTGCCCAGGCTGGAGTGCAGTGGCATGATCTCAGCTCATTGCAACCTCCACTTCCCGGGTTCAAGTGATTTTCCCACCTCAGCCACCCTAGTAGCTGAGATTACAGGCACACACCACCATGCCCAGCTAATTTTTCATATTTTTTGTAGAGACTGGGTTTCACCATGTTGGCCAGGCTGGTCTCAAACTCCTAACCTCAAGTGATCACCACCTGCCTCAGCCTCCCAAAGTGCTGGGATTACAGGTGTGAGACACCATGCCTGGCCTAGGAGTTTACAGTCTAGTAAGAGAAGACAGAAAACAATACATCTATTAGAATGTGGTACGTGCTATGGAGAAAAACAAAACAGGAAAGCTTGAGGAGAAGGTCTCAGAGGGGTGGTCCTTCTAAGGAGGCAGAGAACGGGGGTCGGGGGGTGGGGCCAGGGCACTGGCTCTTACGGGCCTTTGTGAAGGCTCAGACTTGGACACTGCATAAGCTGGGGAGATGGGGGGAGGTTGTGAGGCCAGATAACATGACCTGAATTATATTATAAAAGAGTCACTTTGGCTGCTGTGGGAAGAACAGACTAGGGCACAAAGCTAGACACAAAAGAATAATTAAGGGGGTATTTAAAGGCTTAAGGGTGGGGTTGCCATCTGACCCAACAATTCTATACTCCTAGGGTCTCTACTTGACAGAAATGAAAAAATATGTCCACACAAAATCTTGTATGGAAATGATCAATGTTTGTTCAAAATAGCCCCCAAATGGAAATAAACAAATGTCCATCAACTGAAGAATGGATAAATAAAATGTGGTCTATCCATACAATGGAATAGTATTCAGTCCTAAAAAGGAATGAAATTCTGATACATGCTATAACATGGATGCATTAAAACATTATGCTAACTGTGAGGTACCAGATGGACACGAAAGACCACATGCTGTATGATTCAGTTGATATGAAATGTCCAGAATAGGCAAATCCATGGAGGCATAAAGTAGCTTAGTGGCTGCCTTGGGCTGGGATGGGGGTGGAGATGAGGGTATTACTGGGGTGATGGCCAAAGGGCATGTGATTTCTTTTAGTGGTAATGAAGATGCTCTAAAATTGAGTGTGGGCGGGGTGCTGTGGCTGACATCTATAATCCCAGCACTTTGAGAGGCCAAGGCGCGTGGATTACTTGAGGCCAGGAGTTTGAGACCAGCCTGGCCAACATGGAGAAACCTCATCTCTATTAAAAAAAAAAAAAAAAAAAAAAGAAAAAAAATTAGCTAGGTATGGTGGTACACACCTGTAGTCCCAGATACTCGAGAGGGAAGCTGAGGTTGCAGTGAGCCGAGATAGTGTCACTGAACTCCAGCCTGGGCAACAGAGCGAGACTCTATCTCAAAAATAAAATAAAATAAAAATAAAATAAAATAAAAAATAAAACTGACTGTGATGGGTGCACAACTCTGTGAATATATTAAAAATTGCCGAATTGTCCACTTTAAATGGGCAAATTAAATGGTATATGTTAAGTATATCTCTATAAAACTGGTACCAAAAATTTAAAAAAGCAGTTGAACAGCATCAACAACAAAAAAAGGCTACTGTAGTAACCCAGGAAGAGCAAGAAAGGAGGAGGAGGAAGAAAAGGAAAATAGGGAAGGAAGGGGGAGCTGAAATGACTGCCCCGATGTAAGCTCCATGCCACTTCCACTGGCCTGAGATGCCCAACCAGCCAGTCAGTCCTCCTTCAAAGACCAGACCGAAGTCACACTTTCCCTTTCCAGAGTCTAAGTCCAACTAAACTCTGTGATGATGAAAATGGACCATACTGTACTGTCCAAATACAACAGCCACCATCACACGTGGCCACTCAGCACTTGCAATCTGCCTAGAACTACTGAGGAACTAAATTTTTCATGTTGTCTCGTTTTATTTTTTCAACTTACCTCAAACTTCCATTTTTAAATTTTATTTTTACTTATTTTTATTTTTTAATCTTTACTTTTTTCATGTGGTCACTTTTAAATTAATGTCAGTACCCACATGTGGCTAATGGCTATGGCACTGGACAGCATAGTTCTAGATTATTCCAGATCCTCCCTTCTGTAAATGCCTCCTGTCAGGAGACTCTCAGTTTAGCACTTAATCCGTTTCTGAACAGTTCTTCTCTCTTGGTCCTGCACTCCCCAAAAGATTTTGGACTCCCGAAGGCAGGTCCATGATGCTAACAGCAGCTGCAATTTGTTAAACCTAGTCTGAGCAGGGTCCTCCTTGGCTCTTTACAAATAGATCTCAATGATCCTCACCATAAACCGGTGAAGCAGGTCATTTTCAAGGTGAAAAATCCCAAGGTGTCAGAGACGTTAAATAACTCACAAGCACACAGAAAGTGAAAGGACCAGGGAATGTGACTTGGGCTTCTCTGCCTCCAAAGGCCACGCTCCCTACCCAGGGCTGCATTATCTGCCCCCATCTCCCAACACACCCAGGCACTTCATTTTATTTCTTAAACGCATCAAGCTCCTTCCAGCCTCAGCCTCAAGCCTTTTGCCTCTGTGGTACCTTCTGCCTGAAATCCTTTCCTCCAGGTCACCACACGTCAGCCTCTCTCTAAAGAGACTCAGCTCAAATGCCACCTCCTGAGAGGCTGTCCCTAAAGCAGCGCCCACACCACAGGTACTCTATAACCCAGAACATTTCAAAATGTTATTTGACTGACAGCACTTATTATTCTCTGAATATTCACGTGTATTGCTTATTGTCTGTCTCTTCCCCTACCTAAAACGCACTCACATACGTACTAGGATGAAATTCCATGAGGGCGGGGAGACCCATTTGCCTTGCTCACCCAGGGTGTATAGGGCACAGTCAAAAAATAATTGCTGAGTGACAAATAACATGGCACAAAACTTCGGTTAGAAGACTAGGGGCCTTTTTAGTTCTTGAGATGCAGATCTGCCCCTCCCCACTCACCTGAAAATACATGAACTTCATGAGCTTGGTGACCTCTGGCTCCAGCACCTCCACTGTCTTCTCGTAGATCTCTACACGGTTGGGCTGCTCGTTGCATTTCACCTGTGGGGGAAGGTGGGGGCATACACATCCTGGTTTGCCCAGTCAGTCCTGGTTCACACCTGTCATCTTATTACTGGTTTGTTGTTTTGTTTTTGAGACAGGGTCTTGTTCTGTCATCCAGGCTAGAGTGCAGTGGCATGATCATGTCTCATTAAAACCTCAACCTCCCAGGCTCAAGTGATCCTCCCAACTCAGCCTCCCAAGTAGGAGGGACTTCAAGCACTCGCCACCACATCCAGCTAATTTTTGGAGTTTTTGTAGGGATGGCGTCTTATTATGTTGCCCAAGCTGGTCTTGAACTCCTGGGCTCAAGCAATCCTCCTGCCTCAGCCTCCCAAATTGCTGGGATTACAGGCATGAGCCACCATGCATGGCCCTGTTGTCTTTTTAATAGAGCCCTTTTTTACTCTCAAATATACCTGATTTTGGATGATAACTGATATGCTCATCCTAGTGAGAGGAGACTGGGGTAACCCCTGCTTCACCAGTCTGGCAGGGGGCAGAGTGCTCCCCAGACATTGGCTGCAGGAAAGGAACCAGTTGGTCCCAAGAACAGAACCCTCCTTCCTTTTTGTCAGTTCTGTTCTGTGTCTGTGAGCTACTGACATGTTCCCATTCATCTACAAGCTCTCACTCCTTCAGTCTTTCCCTGTGCCTGCTCCAGTGGGGTCCAGCTGGATTCTAATCAGAGAGAAATGCTCTATCCATTGTTCTGGATACACCTGGGACAAAGCTCCCCTAGACAAACCCAGGCCTACTTCCTCTGCTCTGCAGTTTTCACCAGTGTGCACATCAGAATCTCATGGCAGACATCCTCACAACACATATGTCAAGGCTGCTAATGGGTACACGGGATCTGAAGAGCGAGGCAAGGTAAGCACAGGGACATTCCTCACACTATTGCTTAGAAAGTTTTAAAATGGCAGCATCATGCTAAATATCCACCAGTGAACGATTAAGTGGATAAATATGCTACAACCACATAATATCACTGTGAGCTGTTAGAAGAAACGCGATTGCTTTATGTAGCCAGGAAACAAAGTCACCATAAACAGGTGAAAAAAGTTACAGAATAGTCAGTATAGTTTGGTCCCATTTTTTTAAGCAAAACAAAACAGCATGTGTGCTCATATCTAAGACAGGCACAGAAAATCTAAAAGGATGCAAACCAAACTGTTAATAGTAGTTATTGCTGGGGCCTACTAGTTAGGAGGAAGGGGGAACAATAGTTTCCATTTACTTTACACACCTGTGGCTTGCTGATTTTGTTACCATGGGACCCACTAATTACATGATGATGGTACTGACGGTAAGAAAAATATCTGTATGTGTCAACAGGAGAAAAGTCAGTAATTAAGTGGAAAAAAAAGCAAGTGGCAGAACAATACAAACACGGAAACAGTACATTTTTGTAAACAATAATTTAAATTATTTATGTAAATTATTTATGTAAATATAATTATATATTTATGTAAATTATTGTTTACAAAGTAATATTTGTGCCAGACAAAAGATCAGAAGAATATGTCACAAAGTGTACATGGTCATCCTATGGTGGGAGGTGGGTTTGGGTGGTTGGGGTGAGGCAGTGGAAACATCTTGCTTTTCACTTTATATCCTCTGCAGTGGTTTTGGTGTCATGTGGTGAGCATATACTGCTTTGGAAATAAAACCTATTGAACAAATGTGTTTTAGGTCCCTCGACATGGGTCCCTGTCATCAGTTTGATGGGAAGCTCTCTGAATGTCTTCCAGGTTTTTCCTTGGATGAGAGGCCCTGCTTTACTCGCTGCCACAGGGAAAAGCTCAGCTCTCTGGTTTGGGGATAAAGCACGGGTTAGTAACACCCTCTGGAAGGGAAAGAGACACACAGCAAGGACAGTCTCACCTGGGGAATGGCCCGGGAACAGCTGCGCCAGGTGTACAGCATGACTGCATACTCATGTCCTTCCTCCAGCATCTCATTCTGAAATGGTAAAACAGCCTCAGCAGGGAGGAACTAGACAGGTGCCACCAGGCTTCCAAAGCCCCCAAATCCCCACTACTTATGGTTAGGCCCGTGGACCAGTAGCATGGACATCACTTGGGGACCTTACTGGAAATGCAGAATCTCAGGCCCTTTCATGGGCCTATGCAGTAAGAATCTGCATTTCAACAAAATTCCCAGATGACCTACATACACAATGAGTTTGAGAAGAAGTGACCTAAATCATCCTCATCAGATACCCAAGGGCTCCACAACCAGGCCACATTTTTCCAAACAGATGGATGGCTACCTTAGAAAGAATGGGGCAGAGCTACGTGCTCCCCAGATACAATGTGAGCAAGAAAACAAGCAAGTAGCAAAACAGTATGTACGGTAGCAAAACAGAAATAATTATTAAAGTATATTATTGAAACTGCCTTTGCAAAGATTATGACAGTGAGAGAAACCTGAAATAGTTGACTCCATCTTGCTTTTAACCTTCAAGCTGTCCTTGGTCATTCCTGGTTGTAGGCTAAGCTAACTTTGGGAGGAATTTCACTGACAGTTTAACCTTAAGGCAAGGATGATCATAGCCCTTCCCAAAACTAAACTGCCAGAGTAAAACTAACAAAAGGCCACAAGGTTAGGATTATGAGAGGTGCAAGACGTTCTTTCCATAGTCTCTTACTACTCAGGAGTCATGTGGTCAGAGGTCACAAGATTTGTGACTTTCCCAGCTGCTCTTACAAATACCAACACAACACTATCATAGAGAATGTAAGATCGGTCTTATGAGAAGTTCTTCAGACTGACTCCACCTGGACTTGGGACTCAACTGGTCCAATGGCCCCCACCCAGAGGCAGCCTCAGCACATGAGGCCTGTTTTCCACACTTCATGATTGCATCCCTAACCAATCAGCACCCACTCCCTAGCCCCATGCATACCCAATTATCCTGGAAAAACTCTAACCTCCAAGCCTTTGGGGAGACTGATTTGCATAATAACACTGTCTCCTGCATGGCCAGTCTCATATTGATTAAACTTTTTCTTTACTGCAATACCACTGTCTCAGTGAATTGATTTTGTCTGTGCAGTGGGCAGAAATATCCATCAGGTGATTACATTACTATGCGTTGAACAAAATTTCAGTGTAACATGCACTATGCTCTGAATAGCAAGCTCTCTGTGGGGCTGGATTATTTTGCATCACTTTTTAAAAAGCCAGATAGCACTATAATGTTCACACTTTTATAAGAGCCCATGTACTACTATCTCATAAGCAGAAAAATGATTAATATCGATTTTTAATAATAACCAGAGCAGATGGGAAAACGAGCAACAGCACGAAAAACGAACATGAAAAACTATAGTGATGACTTATCTCACTGAGTAAATGCTACTGTGGAAAGAGACCTAAATTCAAGGTCCAAACATCTGGGCTCAAGGCTGGGCATGGTGGCTAACACCTGCCTTTATAAAACTAATGAAAGGCCAAAAGATTAGGATTATGAGAGGTGAGTGAATTCTGCTTAAGATGTAGGCATACTTTCCATAATCCCTTACTACTCAGGAGCCACATGGCCAGAGGTCACATGATTTGTGACTTCCCCAGTTGCTCTTACAAATACCAATACTACTGTAGAACGTAAGATTGGTCTTTTGGGAAGTTCTTCAGATTGACTCTACCTGGACTTGGGACTCAACCAGTCCAAAATCCTAGCATTTAGGAGGATGTGGCGAGTGGATCACCTGAGGTCAGGAGTTCAAGATGAGCATGGCCAAAAATGGCAAAACTCCATCTCTACTAAAAGTACAAAAATTAGCCGGGTGTGGTGGTGGGTGCCTGCAATCTCAGCTACTCTGGAGGCTGAGGCAGGAGAATTACATGAACTCGGGAGGCAGAGGCTGCAGTGAGCTTAGATTGTACCACTGCACTCAAGCCTGGGCAACACAGTGAGACTCTGGTCTCATAAATAAATAAATAAATAAATATCTGGGCTCAAATCCCAGCTTCATTATTTATTTGCCCTTTAGTCTACTGTAAATCACTTAGCCTAAAATTCTCCAGTCTTTGTTAAATCATGGTAATATTAATAATCTCAGAATTTTATGAGAATTAAATGGAACACACATACACATACACACACTCTTGGTAATCTGTGAAGTGAGTCAGAAAAATAATCTGGCAGCATCAGGACCCATTAACCACAGAATTACCATTTAACCCAGTAACTCTTGGGTAGGTGTATACCCAAGAGAACTGAAAACATATGTCTACACAGAAAATTGTGTAGATTCAAGATTTGCATGTAACACAAATTCATAGCAGCATTATTCAAAATAGCCCAATAACCCAAATGTCCATCGATGGATGGATAAATAAAATGTGGTATATCCATACAATTAATTACTTGGCAATAAAAAGTAATGAACTACCAATATATGCTACTACATGGATGAACTTTGAAAGGGTACTGTGGCCCATGCCTGTAATCCCAGCACTTTGGGAGGCCGAGGTAGGCAGATCACCTGAGGTTGAGAGTTTGAGACCAGGCTGACCAACAAAGAGCAACCCCATCTCTACTAAAAATACAAAATTAGCCAGGCATGATGGTGTGTGACTGTAATCTCAGCTACTTGAGAGGCTGAGGCAGGAGAATTGCTTGAACCCTGGAGGTGGAGCTTATGGTGAGCCAAGATTGCACCATCACACTCTAGCCTGGGTAACAAGGGCAAAACTCCATCTCAATAAAAAAGAAAAGAAAAGAAAAGAAAACATTATGCTAAGTAAAAGAAGCCAGACACAAAAGGTCCCAGATTGGATTATTTATTTAGATGAAAATAGGCAAATCCATAGAAACAGAAAGTATATTGGTAGCTGCCAGGAGGTGAGGGGGTAGGAGGAATTGGGATTGACTGGTAACAGGTCCAGGTTATCTTTCAGGGGTGATGAAAATTAGGTGTAGTCATGGCTACATAACACTGTGAATATGCTAAAAACCACTGAATTATACACTTTAAATGGAAATACCCCTTGGGGAAAAAAAAAAGAATTTTCCTAGGCCATCTCTTTTCATAAATGAACTTTCTTTTTAAATTCACATATCACCATTTCATTATATCTTATTATACAACATCAGATTAATTTACTTGTGACAGTTTTATTTTCAACAGCAAATGTCATTGACAAGTCACATGTTCAATGATTAGAGAACTTTAAAAATCGGTAACATGTTGTCCCTGAGACCAGGGAGAACCAATCAAGCCTGTGGGTCCCGCAGTCATCTGCCTCAGAACACGTGTCTGAAAGAAGTGACAGTAATGCAAGGATCATGGGTCTACTTTTAGCACCAAACGAACTGCCTGCTGATAGGTGTAATTCCAACTCATTCATTCAGTGAATGTTTAATGGGGCACTCACAGGTCCCAGGCTCTGTGCTTTGTGCTGCCAACATGCAGTGAAAAAGATGAATGTGAACTCTGCCTCATGGTTGGCCATTAGCCAGAACTGTCGTATAATTATGCTGAAATGCAGCAGAGGTCAGGATGGTGCAGTGGAAAGAGCCCTGAGTGGGAGTCTTGGGAGACTTGAGTTCTGGTCCTCACTCTTCTTGAGCCCATCTTTTGACTTATAATGTCTTAGTTTCTTTATATGGAGGTAAACAGTTGGCCTGAATCATTGGTGTTCACCTGGCTATACACTGGGTTACTGGGGAACTTTGATGTCCAGGCCATGCCCCAAACTAACTAAATATTTATCCCTGGGGATGGGATGGGGCATTGGTGTTTAACAATCCACAGGTGTTTCTCTTGTGCAGCCACGTTGACAGTTTCAAGACTGAGGATCTCTTTACATTTCTAATATTCTGTAAGTTCATAACTTAAACCCAATGTAAGTCTAGCTCAAATTTTCTATGACAGATGCAGTGATCACTCAACCCCCATCTTACCCCCAGCAAAGAATCCTCAACTCTTCCATATGGTTGGTAAATTACATGGCTTATGCACTTTCGTTCCTCCTTTCTCTGGCTATCCTGCCCTTTGAGAGATTCACATTGCCCAAGGAGGGGCAGAAGAAATACAAGCAGATGAGCATCTCATATGCCCACATGGCTGCTGATAAGCTACTCTAGAAAGACTGGACAAGGCACAAGAGGACACCATTGACAGAAGGAAGATTTTGTCAGCATTGCATGCCACTCATAACTCATGCCTAAGCCACATCAACACTCTCCCTGTGTAGGCAGAATGTCCCCCAAAAATGTCTGCACCCTAATCCCTGGTACCTGTCACTTCATGTGGAAAGACAGATTTTGCAGATGTGGCCACATTAAGAGGCTTTCAGTGGGAATAGGGAGGAGGTGGTGGTTATTCTGAATTATCCCAGGGAGCCCAGTGTAAACACAAGATACTCATAAGCAAAAGAGGGAGGCAGAAGAGTCAGAGAAGGAGATGTGAAGAGGCAGGCAGAGATCAGAGTGAAGTCGCTATTGGCTGGGGGCCACCAGCCAAAGCATGTGGGTGCCTCTAGAGGTCGTAAAAGGCAAGGGAATAGACTCTCTCCTGGAGCCTGCAGAAGGATTGCGGCCCTGCTGGCACCCTGATTTTAACTCAGTAAGACCCATGTTGGACTTCTGACCTACAGAACTGTAAACAAATAAATCAGCGTTGTTCTAGGCCACTAAGTTTGTGAACGCCATCACCCTACAACCCAGCCCCTCCTTCCAACCTCCCTGTTGGTGTCCTGACCCAGGTCTTCCTAGGAACTCAGTCCAAATAGTCCCAGATGACTGCAAAGCCAGTGTCCCTCCCTCACATCCATATCCTCTTAGCTGTACCCCAGGGCCATCAACCTCATTTGGCCTTGAATGCCTGCACTGTAGGTAACTTTAATCATCTTGACTAGGCTGGGTGTGGTGGCTCATGCCTATAATCCCAACACTTTGGGAGGCTGAGGGGAGCAGATTACCTAAAGTCAAGAGCTCGAGATCAGCCTGACCAACATGGTAAAACCTCTGTCTCCACTAAAAATACAAAAATTAGACAGGTGTGGTGGCAGGCGCTTGTAATCCCAGCTACTTAGGAGGTTGAGGCAGGAGAATCACTTGAACCCAGGAGGTGGAGGTTGCAGTGAGCTGAGATCATGCCACTGTACTCCAGCCTGGGTGACAGAGCGAGACTCCATCTCAAAATAAAATGAAATAAAATAAATGCCAGGCGAGGTGGCTCACACCTGTAATCTTAGCACTTTGGGAGGCTGAGGTAGGCATATCACGAGGTCAGGAATTTGATACCAGCCTGGCCAACTTGGTGCAGGAATTTGAGACCAGCCTGGCCAACATGGTGAAACCCCATCTCTACTAAAAATACAAAAAATTAGTTGGGCATGGTGGCAGGCGCCTGTAATCCCAGCTACTCAGGAGGCTGAGGCATGAGAATCACTTGAACCCAGGAGGTGGAGTTACAGTGAGCCAAGATCGTGCCACTGCATTCCAGCCTGGGCGACAAAAGCAAGACTCCGTCTCAAAAAAAGAAAAAAAGAAAAAAAAATTATCTTGACTAATATATTTGCCTCATTCCTACTTGCAACTCATTCTACACATAACTAACACATGGAACCTGTCCCCCAAGCAGAGTTCTGTTCATATCTCTTCTAAGGATAAAGATTTTTCATTGCTTTTAATTTTTTTTTATTAAAGAAACTAAAGCCTTCTGTTATGGGCTACATTGTGTGCCCAAATTTACATGCTGAAGCCCTAACCCCACAGAACCTCAGAATGTGACTGTATTTGGAGACAGGACCTTTGAAGAGGTAATTAAGATCAAATGAGCCATTAGAGAGGGCCCTGATCCAATCTGACTGTTGTCCTTATAAAAAGAGGAAATCTGGACACACACAAAGAAGGTGCCAGAGATGTGTGCACACAGAGAATAGACCACACGAGGACACAGATGGCTGCCACTTCCTTGGTAGCCGTCTGGAAGCCAAGGAAAGAAGCCTCAGGAAAAACTGAACCTATGGACACCCTGATCTTGAACTCCTAACTTCCAGAACGGGGAGAAAATACATTTCTGCTGTTTAAGGCACCTAGTCTGTGGCACTTTGTTATGGTACCCAAGCAAACAAATACACCCTCTATGCCCTGACCCTTTATTTGTAGGGAATCTGTAAACAATATCCCTAACATGTCCTTTACAGTCCAAACCAGACAGTGCCTGGAAATCCTTGCCCTGCGCCTTTGCTCACAGCGGCTCTTCCACCTGGTGTGCCCTCCCCATCTCATCTCTGACTAGTAAAATTCTAACTGTGTGAGACAGCACAGAACAGGAGAAAGAGATCAGGACAGGGAGTCAGTCCTGGATTTCAGGTCCAGTCCTGTGATTTACTAGTTGTGGGATCATAAGCAACCTGCTTATTAACTTTTCTAGGCCTCAGTTTTCTCATCCCTAAAATGGATATAATGATCCCTTTGCAAGTCACAGGGCTGTTATAAAGCCCCAATAATATAACATATGAAAATGCCTTACCTATATTTTAAAGTATACTATATCTACAAGGTATCATTACCCTCCTACAAGGCCTCACACAAAAGCCACTTCCTTCATCAAGCTTTCTCTGACTCTCTCAAGGTTCTTTCAAAAACACAGAACTTTGAACTTTTACCATGACATTTACCCTTAACTTCGTGTATTTTTACTTATCTTCATGTGTTTTTATTTTTTATTGTATTTTTATTTGTCTGCAAGGCAGTCTGGAGCACAGGTTTTGCAGTTAGGCAAACCTTGGCCTAGATCTGTCACTTGTCAGCTGCAGGACCCTGAGTAAATTATGTCACTTTTCTGGGCTCCAGTTTTCCCCATCTGTAAAATGGGTATGATAATAGAACCTACCTCACAGAGTTGATGTGAGGAGTAAATGAGACAAATGCATCTAACATATCTGGACAGAGGCAGCATTCAACAAATGGTAAGTTTGTCCGTTTCCCACCTGACTCACTGAGAATCAGGACTGGCCCCTATCTGTCCTTGCATACCTCCCCAGCATTTACACAGTCCTTTGCAGGCACTGGCAACACAATACTTACTGAATGAATGAGCAGGGTTTGCCAGCACAAGGTTACAGGAGATAACTGATACAGTGCTATGGTTGGAATGTGTTCCCCAAAGTTCATGTGTTAGAAACTTAAATCTGAGCTGGCGGTGGTGGGGGCGGGGGGTGCGGATCACAAGGTCAGGAGTTCGAGACCAGCCCGGCCAAGATGGAGAAACCCTATCTCTACTAAAAATACAAAAATTAGTCAGGTATGGTGGCACTTGCCTGTAATCCCAGCCACCTGGAAGGCTGAGGCATGAGAATCACTTGAACCCAGGAGGTGGAGGCTGCAGTGAGTCAAGATTGCACCACTGCACTCCAGCCTGGGTAACAAGAGTGAAATTCTGTCTCAGGGGGAAAAAAAAGGAAAAAAAGAAACTTAAATCTCCAATGCAAGTGTTGAGAGGTGGGACCTTTAAGAGGTAATCAGGTCATGAGGGCTCTACCCCATGAAAGAACTGATGCTGTTATCATGGGAGTCAGTTCCTTATAAAGGATGTCTGGCTCCCTTCCCTCTCTCTTACCCATGTCATGCCTTCTGCCATGATATGATGCAGTAAGAAGGCTCTCACCAGATACTGCCCCATCAATCTTGGACTTTCCACCCTCCATAATCATGAGCCAATAAACTACTGCCTTTTTTTTTTTTTTTTTTTTTTTTTTTTTCTGAGATAGAGTCTTGTTCTATTGCCCAGGTTGGAGTACAGTGGCACGATCCCAGCTTACTGCAGCCTCAACCCCCTGGGCTCAAGCAATCCTCTCACCTAAGCCTCCCACGTAGCTGCAACTATGGGTGTGTGCCACCTCATCCAGATAATTTTTAAATTTTTTTGTAGAGACAGGGTCTCACCATGTTGCCCAGGCTGGTCTCAAACTCATGGGCTCAAGGGATCCTCCTACCTCAGCATCCCAAAGTGCTGGGGTTACAGGCATGAGCTACTGTATCCGACCTAAATTTCTACTTATTATAAATTACCCAGTCTGGTTTCCTTGTTATAGCATCACAAAACAAGCTAAGACATATAATGTCAAAGGTCTATGGGGCCACAGGCAGGGTCTATGAACACGGAATTTGGAATTCTTCAAATTGCAGTGCTACATGAGAATAAAATCAATGGAAACCTAACAGGGAAGGGGAGGAGCCCTCCACAGATGAATCAGACTCTAAGAGAGAAAATAATAAGTGGCCCTATTTGCAAATGATTTAGGCCATCAGCTCTTTTGAGTAACTAACTGTTATTCCAAAACCAAAGCCAGTGTCCCTTTTTCAGGAAACCTTTTGCTCTGCTCAAGAGACAAAATTCCACACATTCAATAATATATATACAAGGCAGGAGCCAATCACGTGGTTAACCCAAAAAGCTATAGGAGCTCAGGGAAGTGAGTAGTGGAGACTAAGTTGGGCCCTAATAGTTGAGTAGGATTTGCAAAGCTGGATGATAAAGGTGAACACTGTGTTTCTAGGCACCAAGAGGGGACGGGGCAGAATATAAGACTGGGCTTAAGCACATGATTCTGACTGAGGCAGAGGGTTCTTAGAATAGCTGAGCACATGCCTCTGGTGTGAGAAGCTGCCCACAGCCCCTGCCAGGCCAGCAGGGAGCATGTCTGCACACGTGGGTCACAGAGACTTACCATGCTGGAGTGGACTGTGGCCTGCTCAATGTACCTTGCAATGCCCGTGACAAATGCATTCCTGTCCTCGAAGTTCGTGTCAAAGTTAGCCTGTGGAATTAGAGGGCAGGAACATTTTGGTCGTTAGAAAACAGTTCCAAGTTGGCTGGGTGTCCAGGGAGCAAACTGCTGCCAACAAACAGCACGAGCTCTCTGCGGAAAGCTCCCGCTGCCTCACCTCTCATCTTGCCCCTTCCCCACAAAGTCCCACCCTCACTCACACTGGGCAGAGGCCAGTGATGACAGGGCCTGCCATCCGCTTCCCATCAGTAATCAGGTTCACTCAGCTGAGCCTCAGAAGCAAATGCTGAAACTCCTCAAGCCCAAATAGCTGCTAAAAGTGAAGATGTGCATTGCTTTGATTCAGCAGTTCCAGAAAATACTCACCCAAGGGTGCAGATATATAGGTCCAAGAATAATCATCGTGGCATTTTTTTGTGATTAAAAAAACTGTAAACAACCCAAATGTCCCTCAACAGTGAAAGGCTGAATATATAATAGCATATCCATAAGCGGGCTTATAAGTACCATGAGGTGGCTAAGCATAATGTGGTAGTATTGTGGTATTGTCATGGAAAAATATCCATATTTTAAGTTAAAAAGCCAACTCATAAAGCAATAAATATAGTATGGTTCTCTTTTGGTAAACATACACATACATACACACACACACACACACACACACACACACACACAAATGTGTATATTTGGTTAAAAAAGGCATATATATATAGGCACAGTTAAAGAAAAAAATTCCACGTTTTTGTACACTTTTTTGCATACTTTATTGCTTATGACAAAAAAGATATTTGTATAATTAAAATGTTAATCTGTGTTAGAAGAGGTGAATCAATGAAGTTTATGAGCTGAACCCTCAAGCATGTGCTTCATACATCCACTGAATGAAATTTAAGAATTTATCATGTATTTATATTTAGTCTCCTTTAGCAGTCTGAGAACTATCAAAAGGTCAAACACAACTAGAACTTTCAAATTAGCATGTCCTTTCTTAACATTGCTTCTGGACTGGCATACCCAGACAAGGGGTTAGAAAGCTGACTCCCAGCCCTGATGGGTCATGGTCTGGAACAATCTGATGGTGGTTTATCACAAGCTCTGTTCTCTTAAGCAAAAGCCAACAACTGTGACCAGCTTTCCTGAGGCATGAGCTGCTATGGGATGTTGTAATGCCCTCCTCAAAAGTAATTACCCAGGCAGGTTCTGGGGTTTCTAAATTGCAATCTTTAATTCATGAGGTCAGAGCTGCTAAAACCTTGGTTAGTGCAGCAGCAAGAATAGCCAGGAAGGTATCTGGGGGTCCAATCAGATCAACAAGACCTCCCTGGGAAAGGGAAATAGTCCTGGTGCACATTTAGTAGCTAATCTGTTCCTTATACTGGGTTCCACTGGTGCACAAGGGACTGGATCAGCTCATGACCTTTCACCTTCTAGATGGAGACCTCCCCCTTCCCTCTGCCTCAGGGCAAACCCTCTTAGGGGATCCCCAGAGTTCCTGGTTCCCCTGGTGCTAGCTGCCATTTCCATTACCTGGTACATGATGGAGGAAGGTGGAGGTTCGATGCATGGCTGCTGGTCGGGGAGGGGCAGCTCTTCAAGCAGGTCCACGTTGGACAGGGCATCTTCCAGGGTGACATGCGTGGTCATGGCTGCAGTTTCTGTATTCCGCACTGAGGGAAAGAAAGAGAAGGTCAGTGGAGATTTTCAGGGGCCTCTAAAATTTCTTTTAACCGCACCCTGTCCAGGATCCTTCAGGAGAATAAAGAGGGTTAAAACACACTGAGGCCACTTCCACTCACCACTTCTTCACGAGGTGTTCTCAACCTGTATCTTTTATATCTGAGGATCTCTACATGGCTAACAAAGTACTTTGTGTGTACTTGGCTGACCCTCACTGCCACCCTGTGTGATCAACATGGAAGGCGGTACTCTATCTATATCACTGATGAAACATCAGGGCTCAGAGAAGTTACATGACTCCCACACGTGACCAGGAGTGAAGGATGTGAGGACATGGGTCATGGTTATTTCTCCACCTTTTTTGTTCTTCCTAAGGATATTTATGAGTTCCACTCTTAAATTATCAGCAACACAGTTATCCATGATTGTGACAGCCAAGATAATTAGCAGAAAACCAGAGCCCAGGTTTTTAGGCTAATTAAACTGGGATTAAAATAACTCAATTCCTGCAAATCAACCTTCTTTGCAAAGATGGAGGAGCCATTGTCTTCCTCGGCCTGAGTATCTTTTGTGAGGCACACTGAACAAATCAACCCTAAATGGACATTTTTGTGTCTTAAGACCCTGGCACAGTGTAACTGCTTTGACAGTATGTTTGGCAGGATTCGAAGCTGAAGAGGATCTGAACAGCACAGTTACCCAAGTTGAGCTAATTCCTATTTTAAGAACTCAGCACCCAGCAAACAGAATACTCATTTTCCCCACCCAAACATATGTGAAACTACGGCTTAAAAACTAATCATGATTTAGGATATAAATCAGATTCCCTCTTCAAAAATGACAGCCTACCAGTCACATTCACTGATTATTAAACATAATACAATGAAATTAGAAATCAATAATGCAAATTATAGCAATAAAATCCCATACCTCTGAAAATTTATAAGACACACTTCAAGGTCATTCATAACTAAAGAGGAATTTAAATAGCAATAATAAGAATATTTAGAAATGAAAGACAGAAAGCACTCATACATGTCTTCAACACATTTAGTTGAAAGAAAAGTAGAACTAAATGAAGTTAATGTTACACTCAACAACCTTCAGAGAAAAAAAATCAGCCCAGAGAAATGAGAATTGAGGGGTTGGGAGTTACAAAGGCAGACATAAAGCAAAAAACAAAGCAAAATAAAACACAACAGTAGAGGTGAGCAAAAACACTAAAAGCTGAGTTTTAGAAAAAGATTTCTAACAATAATAAAGCCAATCCTAAACATACATGATTAACAGGGACACAAAGAGCAGCGCCACCGTGCTTGTCTGAGAACCCCTTCCTGACCACCTTCAATCCCAGATAGCTGTGAGACAGGGCTGGAATTTCTCCTGGGAATGTCAGTAAGTTTGCCTTGCTCGTTAGGAAATGTAGTGTCTCACATTAGGGGGAAAACGGATCCACAACAGAAGAATTTGGTCCAGGGGCCGCAAAGGGCTAAAACAACTGCAGAATCTACCCAAGGTCATGCTGCCCGGAGACTAATATCTGCCTTAGGTCCAAGGTTGGGAGGGCAGATTGGGACTGAGCCTTCACTGGCTGCTGAGCAGCTAACTGGATTCACATTAACCCGAGTTCTCGAACACACCTCCCATCATGTACCATGGCAACAGCGAATGCTGCATCCAGTGAGGGATCACTGAGCTCAGAGGTAACTTCCCCCTCTGCCCTCTGCAGAAGGCTGGCCTTCTAGGGTGGTTTCAGGTCCTCTCCACACCTAAGCTTCTTCCTCTTCTCTCCCCACAATTCTAAGTGTGGCATTCAGTTCTACAGCAAAACTACTTTGCCTATCCGTTACAAGAAAAGAAAAGAAAAAAAGACTGTCTTCCTTCTTACGCTACTAAGTAGGAGGAGGAGTGATGATTTTACTGGGTATATGATCTTCAACCTCCAAAGCCTTGCTAATTCTCTTCATTAATTCCAATTATAATAATAAAACATTTCTTCAGCCTTTACTCTGTGTCAGAAACTGTGCAAAATACTTGACTATTTCAATCTTGCATCCACTTCATAAAGGTAAGTACCCTGATTATTCCCATTCTATAGATGAATGAACAGAACCTCAGCATTTAATTTCACAGGGTCAAGGGCTGGCAAGTGGTGGAGCGAGGGCGAAGCCAGGTTTGTCCAGCTCCACAGTCAGAAGTCATCTTCATTATGACATACTTCCTTCCAACGGCTCAGGCTTGCATTGTGAGACTACACTTGATAAGGGGAGGTTTATTTCATACCAACTTCTATGCTCGTGTTTTCAAACACTCTGCATTAATGGTTCTTGGCCCTGCTTGTGCCAAAAAGTCACGTGTACAGCTTCTTAATAATAAAATGCCTGGGTTCCAACCAGGGGACCAGGAAGACTGCATTTGAAAGGTGTCCTGTCTCATTTTCAGTAAGAAAAATCCAGATTAAACTTACATGGAGATACACCATTTCTCACTGATCAGATGGGCTCAAATCTAAAAGTTTGACTATACATGCTGTTGGCAAGACTACGGAGAAACAGGCTCTCCCAAATATTGTTGATAGGGATGTAAAAATGACACATTTCCCATGGAAAGAAATCTGGCACTAACTAACAAACTTCCATAAGTATTTTACCCTTTGACCAGCAATCCCACTTCTAGGAATCTATCCCAAAGTTGCACGGACAAAAATACACAAAGATATATGCACAAGGCCATTCACAGCAGCACTACTTGTGATCGCAAAAACCGAAAACTGCAAACATCCATTAATACAGTTAGGTACTTGCTCTCACCCAAATCTCATGTTGAATTCTAATCCCCAATATTGGAGGTGGGGCCTGGTGGGAGGTGTCTGGACTATGGGGGCAGGTCCCTCCTGAACAGCTTGGGCCATCCCCTTGGTGATGAGTGAGTTCTGAGTTCACAGGAGAGATGGTCATTTTAAAGTGTGTGGCACCCCCCGCTTCCCCACACTGCCCACTCTCTTGCTTTTGCTTTCACCACGTGGTGTAACTGTTCCCCCTCTGCCTTCTGCTGTGATTGAAGGCTTTGCGCAGCCTCCCCAGAAGCCAAGTAGATGCTGGCACCATGCTTCCTGTACAGCCTGTGGAACCATGAACCAATATGCAAAGAATTCTAGCCCCCATCTCTGCCCCTTAACTGTATTCCCTTCTTTTCCTGTTTCCAATAGGTAACTAATTTTTAAAAGTATACAGCTTCCCCTTCCATTGCTCGTTTTGTAAGTAGAAGATGTGTGAAGACCTCTTTCTAGTCATTTCTTTATAAATTACCCAGTCTCCAGTACCTCTTTACAGCAGTGCAAGTTCGGCCTAATATATCCATTAATGGAAGACTGTCTGGATAAACTATGGTGCCACCATACAGGGAAATATGAAGCAGCAGGAAAACAGTGAGGAACCTCTCTACATGCAATTACGGGGTAATCTCCAGGACATGGTATGGAGAGCAAGTGCTCATGTACCCGGGAGAGGGTCTGCAGATGTCTCCACACACATCTTCTACTTCAAAAACAAACAATGGAAGGGAAAGCCATATACTTTTAAAAATTAGTTACCCATGGGGAACAGGAAAAAAGGGAATACAGTTAAGGGGCAGAGATAGAGGCTAGAATCCTTTGAATATGCCTTATTTTGTAGATTTGACTTTGAAACCATCAAAACATTTTATATACTTTTAAAATTTAAATTTATAAAAAGTGGCCCACAAAATGAAAAGCAAAATGAAACAAATGAATGTATATACGTTGTACTATTGGAGTAACTCCACAGAAAGGGACTGTTCCAAGTATTTTAAAATTGAGTGATGTGCTGGAAGACGCCAATGGATCTCAAAGACATCTAATAAAAACTTGGTTTTTATTACTTTGTTACTGTTAGACAAGCCTGTGAACCAATTTTTATGTTGAATATTGGTAAATAAAAGCAAACATTTAACCTGTCTTACCTCAACAAACTATACCACCAGATAACCAAACTATAGAAGAGATGGTTGTTTCTTTCCATAAAAGTTTTTTTTTTTCTTTTTAAGAAAAAAAATGACAATATCCTTGTTTTCCAACCTCTATAAACAAATGGATCTAGGAACTGATCATCATGAGCTGCTAACATCCCTAAATGAAAGACAATCAGACATTATGTGCTTAGTGATGGAAAAACGCACTGTCACTCCCCCACCCCCCTAACAAAACACCTGAATCTAATTAAGCCTTTGATGCCAACTCACAGGAAATATAAGAGGGCAGAAAAACATGCTATACCCCAGTGATGTAAATAGGAAAATACAATCCAAGACAAATTCTGCTGGAAAAATGACTCAGGACCTCTAACAAATAAATTGCAAAGATAGAAAAGAGATGGAAGGAAAACTATAGGTTTTGAAGAGACCTAACACACTATCGTGCGTGAACCTTATTTGGATCCTATTTCAAACAAACCACCATGAAAATAAAATTATAACTTTATGAGAAAATTAGAAAATGAGTACTGACCGGATATTTGATAATATGAAGGAAATATTTTATTTAGGTGTGATAACATCAAGGTTATGTTTTAAAAGAGCCTTTATCTTCTAAAAATACCTACTAAAATATTGATAAAAGACACAGGGGTTTGCTTCTAAATAATACAGATGAGGGAAGGGTGAGTAAAAACGAAACAAAACCAGCAGTGAGTTAGTAACTGTAGATTGTGTGTGACACATGCATAGAGATTATTGTATTTTTCCATCCAACTTTCTATGTTTCAAATTTTTTATAAAATCCCCTATATCAGTTTATATGCTCCTAGCTCTTATCCAACTTCCCTTTTTTCTCCTGTAACTAGGTTTCTTCTGGGCTTCTCAAACTTACCCATTTACGGACGGGCATGGTGGTTCACACCTGTAATCCCAGCACTTTGGGGGGCCGAGGCAGGTGGATCACCTGAGGTCAGGAGTTCAAGACCAGCCTGGCCAA